TTAAATTATAAAAATACCAAAAAAACAATTAAATTACTAAGGTTAGGGTTTAAATATTCGTAAGTAGGTGGTTTTTTTTCAGATAAGCGTCATTAGTAGTTGAAGTCTTTTCAATGTGGAGGTCTAATGTTTCTGAATCATTGTGGCCTTCATTGCATTGCTCTGTATGGCATGAAATTTTACTAGGGGTCTTCATTGGCTTGATTATTTTTCTATGGCGAATTGTTTATTAACGATTGGTATCATAAAAATTTTGCGACTGTCAGAGTCTGAAGTTTAAAATTGTTAAAAGAATATTGAAAAAAATATTAATTTTAAATAGTGATCCTGATTCGTGATATTATTAGAATGGTATACATATAATGTAATGTTTTCTTTTTCTTGCCATATCCTTTCAGGACATTGGCGACCATCGACCTCCACACTCTTTAACATTTTGTAAGAATTAAAATGTGGTGATATTCAACAATTGACACAAGGACTTCACGAATGTTATTCGTTGTTGACAGCGATCTCTTCTCCCTGCAATCTTTCCAGTAGTTGTTAGATTTTACGTTGAAAATTTTGTTGGTCATAAAAAAATTAACCCCTGAAAAAAAATATTTCATTAAAATTCAGCAATTCAAAACAACAATCTCAAACTCATTAAAATGTTTAATTTTTCAAAAATTTAATATGAAAATTATCTGAAACAATGTTGAACGAAACATTGTTGGCTGGAAAAATTTTTCAAAAGTTATCCTCCAAGGCATAATTACGTAGATAGATAGATACATTCAATTTAATTATTAATGCCATGTGACCTGTTGTTGGTTATTATGTATTGCTTTGTGTTGTAGGCTTCAGTGTACGTACATACATACATACATTTATTGTTGTCAATCTTTGTACTGTTAATATTTTTTTAATTATTCATATCATAGTCTTAATATTGAAAAATCTTGGAAAACATCATACAAATTAACGAAATTTATTTTGAAAATGCTTATTTTGTGTGCAATTTTAACAGAAATTTTATTTATTTTGTGAACATTTCGTGATATTAAGTCAAAATTTATGTATATTCTTTCGCAAAAGTGTGTACTGCTGTATATATATATATATATATATATATATATATATATATATATATATATATATATATATATATATATATATATATATATATATATATATATATATATATATATATATATATATATATATATATATATATATATGGGTGTGTGTCCACAGTCCGCAAGTTTATTCACTGCTCTGCCCATCTTATCATCGACTGTGTTATTGTCAGTGGATTTTAGCAAAATCGAAGCCGCGAAAATAAGTTTAAGGAAACGGCTGTTGGTAGTATGGAGATGATGATTGGATGTTCTTCAGGAGTTAAAAATTGTGTCATCCTTCTGAGATTCTAGTTTTGTATCTTGTTTTAAAAGGTAACAAGAAAGATACAAAACAAGTTACCCATAATTTTTGCAAAATAAATGTAAATCATAAAATAAGAAATGCGTAAATGACAAATTAATCGTCAACTTAGCAAAGAGTCAATATCTCACAATTTTTAACTAACACATATAAGTCGTTCAATAAACTAAGTTAGAAAACATTCCACCCTTATCTTTCAACATTTTTTCAAATTTTAAAAGTTTTTGTTGAATTTTCGTCCCAATAAACTAACAGCGACTCAATATTCAAGAGCTTACGGCGTGTGATTGATTGATAGCAGTCGGGTTACTGGATGGCCTCTGTAATGCTCCATTTTTTTCACTTTACCAAAGTTTTATTAAAAAAATCAGGCTAAAAAAATTGCTCTTCTAAATTATGTTTTGCCAAAACTTACCGTTGTTATAACTCATACAAAAAATGTTTGTACGCACATTACAGTGTATAACTTTACTTGAAAATAAACATCATACAACCCACATATCAATAAGTTTTAGCTCTGTTTTAATAATGAATGAATCTTCCCGTATCGTCACAATAATCTTCAAATGTGTGTTTAACAAATGGCGACAAACTTATTGGAGAAACAAGAAGAGTCTCAATAGTGTATAGGTACCACCGAAACAAAACTGATTGCATGTCTACATTTTAATTAGTAAATTGAATGTTTTAGCACTTGCAAAGAGGCATGAAATATTTATCTTTCTACTTTAAATAAGACAAAACAAACATCCCTATATAAGTTTTTCAATATTTTTAATTGATGATACGCAAACAGGACTTATTTGGTTTACCTGCTTAGAAGCTTAGTCATTCTTTTAATGTGCATGTAGCATCTAATTACATAACCAAAATCTCGCGTAGCTGATGTTGAAAGAAAGAAAAAAAGAAAAGAAGAGAAAGAAAACATAAAAAGAGAGAGAAAAAGAGAGAGAGAAATGTTCACTTCGGTGAATTTCAATTTTAAAAACCTGTCAATCAAGTTGCGGCTGTGGTTGCCGTGGTAACTATGATAGTGGAAAGAAAAAAGAATCAAGTTGGTAGGCGATGACGAGAGGAGAGGAGAGAGAGAAATGGATGCTTTGATGTCGCGTGTGGCTGCACCTTGGGTGGGGTTTGGTACCTACCGATGGTTATTGCTGGTTGTCTTTCAGGACAGGTACACCCGAGAGGCGTGGTCACGTGTGATTGGATTTTTTTTAATTTTTTGTTTTTTTCTTACTAAATTGTTTTTTTGACATTTAAAGTTTAGCTAACGTTTTAATGTATATTTATTATTCAGTTGGTTTTTTTAAGTTTATTTTTTTCATTAGAAACGGTGTCAACTTATGGACACATATTTGTTATTCATTTTCATTAGCCGCAGTCAGCGTAACTTAACCATCATTATCATCATTATCTATAATGCTATTATCATCATCACCACCAACATCATCAACATCATCATTATCATCATCGTCATCATCTTTTTATTTACACTACTACTACTACTACTACTACTACTACTACTACTACTACTATTACTACTATTACTACTACTACTACTATCTCTGCTACTACTAATACTATCTCTGCTACTACTACTACTACTACTACTACTATCTCTGCTACTACTACTACTATCTCTACTACTACTACTACTACAGAGATGCAGCAACGTCTGCCAGCATCAATATAGAAATGAAAATTTAAATCCTTCCATGACGTCAGAGCAATAAACATGTGACGTCATCGGCGAAACAACCGACCGACACACAACCTGCTACAGAGTACATACATACACTACTGGTACATATATTAACACAAACAAATACCACACACACACACACACACACACACACACACACACACGCACACGCACACGCACACACACACAGAAGACAAATACGCAGACTATTTCCGGCTAGGTAGTGTAATGTGAAAAAGCGCCTTGACTTTATCGCAGAGACCTGGTTTGAATATAAAAGAGATCCCCTCCTGTCATACGCCATTCGTGTGAAGCGTCGATTTGTACATATTGAAATGTACTTTTGTGTTTATTGTTGAGAGTTCTGATAGGTAATTGAAAGAGAATTTTCATTCTTTAACAGGAGGAAAAATATCCGATTCAGTCCCCTTTTAAAATTTCGACTCTGACGAAATTCTCCAAATCCAACCAACTCTGACATTTTGAATGTAATACCGATCTACATTAAGTGCTATTCTATACAACAATAGACAATAGATGGACCAAACAAAATACATTTGGTTACATACAAAATACATACGGATGTACATTAAGTGTTATTTAATACGGATCTACATTAAGTGTTATTTAATACGGTTATACATTAAGTGTTATTCGGATATGAAATCAAAGTTTTCACTTGCAATTCAATCAGATTGTGATGTTTTATTAGCATAAAAGTTTCTAAAAAAAAATTAATTATGGGTATTTTTTCTAAGCTGTGTGTTTATTGTTGTAAATTTTAATGTTCCTGATACGCTTCTTCATCTGCAGACACCGTCAACTATGAATCACTCATTCCTTGCAATCCATCAGTTAGATTAGAACGATCAATTTTCTATTTGGCCGAATGTGCGAGCGCTCTTCTGTAATTTTTGTGTCAAATTTTGCTACATTCATAGATAACAAAGCAATCCATACTTCATTCAATATCGTGAAAAAAACATTTATTTGACAGGAATTTAACTGAGTAAGTTATATCGGATTACTTTGCAAATTTCATGCTAGATTGTAAATCGTCCAATCTGAACAGGTTTTGAGTTATAATATAAAAACTTTTGTTCCCTAAATAACTCTGTCATTTTGATCAACTACCTGCCACTACATCTACCGCTACAAACTACCGATCTACCGCTACAACTATCTTTGCCACCACCACATACGTACATTTTCTACACTTCTACAACAAATATTGTTACAGCGACCACAACAACGACAGCAGCAGTAGAAGCCTCAATTCTTAATTCAGCGTTCATTACTTCAACTTCATTCAGCAAGACAAACGAAAGATGGAGTATGAGTCCTGGAATGACTTTTTATTGTCCTCAGGCGATTCTCATTCATCCGTCCCTCCATCATTGCGTGCAGACTCTGCATAACTTTACTTGGCACCGCATCTTACACATACACACACACACACACACACACACACACACACACACACACACACACACACACACACACACACACACACACCACATACACACACACACACACACATAAACACACATACATACATTCACACGCATAAACACAGAGCTCTATGCCTCTATTTCTAAATATTTATTCATGACGACTAGCAGTGCGTCTCTGTTTGCTTATGCAAATTCTTTTTATTTCAATGCTTCTGTGTTGATTTTAGTGGCTCAGTTTATTTATTGACTCGTTGCATTAAATTTATTTAAAAAATTAAATTGCATTTCTTTTATATGATTTAATTTAAACAAATAAATACCTTAAATCACCACTAGGCTTGCAACGCTACCAACAAATCTACCATTCCCTTCAGCACTACTACCACCAACTGACCCAACAACTCCCTCACCCCCGCAAGCACCACATCATCCAGACGGAAGGTGTTCGACTGAAAGATACATGCAACAGCTATCCACTTCTTCGTCAACTTGACAGAACCTTTGACCGTGACCTTAAAACGTTCGTCCTTGACCTTAGTTCTGTAGCTGCCGTGGAACATCTGCTACAGCAGGTTAATGAAAATTTATTTGTTTGTGAGATGAGGTCATTGTATGTTAGGTTAGGTCATTGTGTTTGAAGTGAGGTCACTATATTTGTATACAAGGTGAGGTCAGTTTATATAAGATGAGGTTATTTACATGTAAGTTGATGTCATTCGTATGAAAGGTGGGGTCATTTGAATGTTGTTGAGGTCATATGTAGGGTGAGGTCATTTATTGTTTGGTAAATGTGTGGTAGAGTCGCCAAAAAGTTATTTCTACTTCTAAAAAGTTATCTTAGGATCATTACCACGTTTTGTGTTTTGATGTTTTTACCAAAAATGTTGTTGAAATGGGTATAAGATATAGATGTTGCTGGTTTTTGCAATGTAACCTTTTAACATGTTAATTAATTACGCCGATTGCCTTTTTTGTTGTTTTAGCATTAGGCAATAACTCAATTTTTTTAGTTTTATATGGTTTACTGTTGAAAGCATTTTGCAATTTCCATGCTAATTACATGCGTAATAAAAACCAACGTACATAATTACACAGCCACCCAAACACGCACGTGTAACGTCCACCATACATCTGACATATCCAAACAAACGCATTGCACAAGCATGTGTTGATACGTATCATATAAACGATAAATGTCGTTGATTTTGTATAATTTTTAAAAAAATATTATAAAAAAGTAAGAACTTTTTTTAAAAATTACATAAAAATTGACAAAGTAAGACAATATATTTAGGTTAAAACCCTGTATTAAACGCACTGACACACAAATATATCATCAGAAATGTCGAAAGCATGTTGAAACTTCGTTTCCTATTCTTTTTTCATGTTTTTGTTGATGGCAAATCTTCTTAGGAAAAAATCTTTATAAATATTAACTGGATGAAACATGTGAAACATGAGGACAACAACCAATTTTTCATTCATTCTTTTTCTACTATTTGCTCTATGTTCAGTACTTTCTGCTACTTTTAGCTACTTTTTTCATGTTTTAAAATTACTATCAGTATATTTTTAAACAATTTTTGTATTTTGTCACCTTATTTGGGTAATATGGTTTATAAAACTGTTTTTAAGGTTTTTCATACAAAATAATTCGGTGCTACATTATATGAAAAATTTCTTTAAAGGAAACACAATGGCCTACTAAGGAAGACATCTCCTGTTATTTTGTAAAATCTCTGTTGAGTTAATTCGGTGCTATTAAAATGCAGTAACGTAAGTACTGCTGCTATTTAGCTTTGCGACGTTCTGGTCCAAACCCCTATTTCTTGCCTTTATATATTATTTTCATACAATTGCTAATGTTGACATGCAGAAAGTCAGACGGTTTTGTTTTCACCAACAGAAGAATTGTTACGACCTTCGCAATATTTTCAGTTTGCCACTACAGCAGAATGAAAAACTTGAAAAAAGTGAACAGATAACAAAAAAAAGTACAAAAATAAATTCAGCAGCAAGGATAACAGTGAAAACGCGAGTGAATGAATGATAAATTATGAATGGTTATGGTCATCCTGCCATGAATACGGATGAAAAAGATAGCAATCACTATGACAACTGAAAGTTAGACCAGCGTTATTTATCATTTGGAATCTGGTAGATGGTGAGGACGGCGATGATGTCAATGAGGATGATGACAAAGTCAATAGTGACGATGATGATGACGGGGACGATGATGATGACGGGGACGATGATGATGACGGGGACGATGATGATGACGGGGACGATGATTATTTATGGAGATAATTTTGATGGTTTAGCGTCGCCTAATTAAAAATGATTAACTCGATGTTTTTTTTTTTATTAAAAATTGATAATTCCATTGTTATTTAGCAACAATATTAAAAAATGATTGCATGTGACATTCATATAATAGAAAGAGTACATTTTTTATGAGTAAAAAATTTTGTTATTAGTTAAACGCAACTCAAATTCATCAGCATTCTCCAAATATCGTGTTGGCAAGATGCCCAAAAGCTCTTCATCAGAATGACATTTCAATTTTTCACCAACGTAAAAAATAATAATAGTTGGAACACAATAAAAATAAATTTATAAATACTGGAAGATAATACGAAACGATGTTTCAATAGTAGTATATAACTAAATGAAAAAAGGGCTGATAAGTAGGCTCACAAAAATCTTTCATTTGTTGGGTGGATGGCGATACATTTTGGACTGGCAAAAATGTTTCTGTTTTACAAAATAACGAGGTGTTAGTTAGTGGAAACTGGAAAAATAGTGAGGTTTGAATAAATAAGTAAGTACGTAAAAAATGTTGGAAAAATATATTTCTCAAAAATTAGAATCTGTTTGAATGCATTTTTGTTACAAAACTCTTAGACCCTTTTGAACGAAACGGTCACATAGCTCAAACAAATAGTTTCTACTAACCGATAAATTTCATTTAATTTACTTTCACACATTTTTGCAGCGAAATTTTCACAAAACCATTTTGATTTCCATAAACACACGACTGAAGCATGTGATGTGACGAATCCAACCGAATACACGACTGTCTTAACGTAGAACCGCTTGAATAAACATACCTATCCAATGCATGCCAGCCAACTGCAGAACAACTTTTATGACTCACAGGACTTGAAGGAAGGAGAAATTGATGAAGCGAGATAGAGTAGAAATAGAGGTGTGTCTTACATGTGCGGTAAGCAAGTTAGTGCAATAGAAAACTAACTATGCAAACATGGCGATAATTTGATTGACGGTAATAAATAATAATAACTGCAGTGTACATAGAGTAGTAGGAACGATGTGAATGTGTACGCGAGTGAGTGACAGGATTGAATGAAGTATGCTACACTGTACTTGCCTCACATGTTTTAAAGTTTTTCAGTGAAAACATTTATTTCCCTTTAACACTCACGATATGATTTGAACTTTTCGTTGTTTTAATCATTAAGAGGGCTTACAATAATGAGAACAAACATAACATCAGATGACGAAAATAATGCTAATAAGTATAAGAGACAAAAATCAACACGCCGCTTCTCGATTTCATATAATACCGTCAACAATCACACAATCAACGTTTATAACCACCACCACAACAACAACAAAAATAACAACAACAGCAACAAAAATAACAACAACAATAATAGCAGCAACAAAAATAGCAGTAATAACAATAATAGCAGCAACAGCAACACAAACATACAAAATGATGGCAGAAGAAAGAGCAATCTTCATAAAACTATTCCTGCGTCCTACAACTGCACTTTGACAACATCTATAAAACATGCCATAAACTCTCTGCCTATAAGATCATACGGGCTAGGATATTGAAACAAAAGTAAACACACACATACTCACATACACACATACACGCATATATATATATAAGTACACATAAATAAATACACACATACATATGTACTTACGCATACATATACACATACATAAAAATATTCACTCGTGTATAAATATGCACATACATACATCATTCATAGGTACATAGCTACACGTACACACATACACACATACACATAAACACTTTACCCATCCATAATTTGAACATTTGAAATATGCCCAAGCCATGATATAACTTTATACGAACTCATAAATATAGACTGGCTAGATGGATGCATACATAAGATATGGTTTAATACAATTCAGGAATACACACATCAATTTCTGGGTGACATACACGCACACACACACACACACACATATAAACACAAACACACACACACACCCTAATTATTGTTACTCAAGTTTAATTCACCAAAAAATCAAGGATTATGGAACATTTTTTTATGTTCTTAATCGAAGGCCAGTAAAGAAAGTCAGGTCCTGATATTTTCGTATATTTCTTTCAGTAACATGTCGTAATAAAATGTTTAAACTAATCCAATTGTTTACCTTTGTTTAAACTAATCCAATAAAAATACAAAATACAAAAAAGGAATAAACAGGAGTTAATTTTTTTATAACATGTATGATTTTGACGTTTCTAACGCTTATGTGATAGCTGAAAATTACTTTATCAACAAAACATTTACGAAATAAAAGTTTCATATTTTTGTAAAATTTTTAAAATTTGCCAATATATATTTTTGTGTTTCATGTGGTCAATTTAGGTATAATATTACCAACTAATCCAGAAAAACAAAAAAAAACCATTTTTTTTCCATTTCCTGCCATGATTTTACAGTTTCTATGCGACAAATAAATATTTAAATGACTGCTTTTTTATCTACTGATTATGTGAGCTAAAAACTAATCAATTTTTTTATAAAAGTCTTTCCATTTGAATGTTGAGCAGTTGGTGGTTTGTTGTTTTTTGGCAAAGATGTGTGGTTCATATTCAATCTATGACCTCTTTCTTAACATTGTATTAATGTGGATTTTGTTGTTTATAATTTAGAAATTTAGCAATTAAGTAGCAACTGCATTCACTCAAGCCATATTCATCGCAATTACATCTACTACCACCAAGTTTACTACAGCCAGATTACCACAGCCACATTTACTACAGCCACGCCACGGCATCTACATCAGCAGCCACATCAGCAGTATCTGCCTCAAGACCTTACCAGCATCATGCACAATTTATCGCTTTGCCTTTGCACGTCTATCGGCGTATTTTTCCTGACGTTGGCGCGCGTGTGTGTGTCTGTGTGTGCGTGTGTGTGTATATGTGTGTGTGTATGTGTGTGCGTGTGTATACATGTGTGTGTGTATACGTATATGTATGCGCGTGTGTGTGGTGTGTGTAAGTCATAAAATAATTGTATAACATCACCTGATTCTCAGTAAGAAATTGTCTTTTCTGCGAATTATCATCAGATATTTGTATGAAGTATTATTTTTAAGCAGCGTTTAAACGGTACATATTTAGCTTTTTGCTGCTACTGATTTTAGCAAATTGAATATGTACTGAGTTTATTTTACCAGCACACAATGTTTATTGATGAACACAGTACACATAAACGATAATGCAGATGTAGTAACATGTTTTATTATCTATGCTATGCTTTAAACAAAACTATTTCATTTTGTCATCATCAAAAAGCTTCTATCGACTAATGTTCTTCCTAATGGGTGTGTACTGTATGTACTACAGTCCACATGTAAATGTATGCTTCAATAATAATTGCATGGGGGGTCGTTTTTGAGGAATCTATCTGTGAAATATGTGTAAGTGTGAACATTTTTGTATATAACTACATAAAGATAAAGAATGTACCTACACATTCTTTGAAATAGCAAACACATTTTGTTTAAAATTAACATAACAATAGTAACATTTCAGTACAGATACGAATTAAATTGAGATTTTGCCTGTTTAAAACCTTAAAAATCAAAAAACAATCAATCTCTGTCACAGTCATTTTCAACATTTCATCTATCATAAAGATCATTAAACGCCTAACGAGCTACTTCATTATGAATGCAGATCAAACACGTAGGCATGCACCGTCCCAACTACCACTACATCATCGCCGGCGTGGTTAGTGTATCATCAGTATATCACAATTTTCTTGCTGTGGTTCAGTTTTATTTTATCAAAAATAATCTCACAAATACCTCCAGTAGCTTAGTTTTTAAGTAATTTTGTTTCTAATGCCGAGTAAGTTTCAAGATTTTATTGTTAAACATCAACGTACATTTAAAAATGTTGGAGGAATTTGTTTTAATTGCATTAAAACAAAAGCCCATTTGAAACAAAATGTGAAGAGAACAAATATTTCGCATGTGTCAACATTGGCAGCGGATGGATGAAATCGACCTGAGGGAATTTAAATACGGGGGCGTCAATTTCACTGGATTCCGATTGGTTGATCCAAACGAAGGTCAAGTTCAACAGGCGCAACGTGATTGGTCGACAGTCACACGGCCTGGAACTGACCAACCAATAAAAGTAGGTTGTCTTTTTTCAAAAATTGCAAGAAATCATGCCATCTGTTCAAATTTTGTGGTCAATATATGACATTTTTGAGTATTAATTCAACACTTTTCAACAAATCATTATATACAAACTATTTACCAGTTGTTAAAAGTTTTCATCGTAATGCTAACAAACATCATTGAAATCGTCGTACTATCGTCATCATCATAGTCATCATCACATCAAAATCACCCCCATGTCATAGTCATCATCACATCATCATTATCTTCTTCGTACCGTGGTCACTAACATTAATTTAATGACTACAGCTTGAGGCATGGTTAACAATGGACACTTTTGCGGTCATCGTATCAGCTTTGAGAAACCTCTTTGCCAGCAACTTAACTTTTTATAAAGTTTGGCGATGTTGTTTATTCATTCATTTATTTATTCATTTAATCAATCACTCTTTTCGTTAATAGTTTATTTATGTATTCATTCATTTCTTCATTCTTTCACTCATTTACTCACTCATCCATCCAATTTAGGACACCTTCCGTAAGAACGAAATCTTCGGTATATCAAGTTGTCGCCTGGAGCCCCCATCTAAACCATGGGAGTTGGGCAGAGTTGTCACCGATGCACTTAAACAGGTCTCAAATAATAATGATGATGTCATAAATTTTATCGATAGTTTAATGGTTAAGACACTTGCTATTGAGGTTGCAGAGGCTTGGTTCGATTACATAGAGGTCCCAGCCTACAACATGCTATCTCTTGGGTTAAGTTTTAAATGGGAGAACTAAAAACTGACAAAAAATATTCATGATTAATTGATTCTCAATATTTCCATTTTCTACTGAAACTTTTTCTATAGTTAAAAATTTTTAAAAATTTAAACAAGAAAAAACAAAAAAATGACTGAAACAATTTTTTCGTTTGAAAAAAAAGTAGAAAAGCATACCAAAAATGGTAGGCAAACATAGAAGCAAATAAACAATTTACAGTTATGATGAACATTGAAGGAAGGTTGTAGGTTGAGATGAAACGCTGATGGGAAGGAGAGAGTTGATGTAGACATGCCTGATGAAAAGACGCCAGTAAATAAGTTTTGCTCTAATGTATCTGCTCTGTGTGGGTAGAAACTCGGTGAGGATAAGTGACTAAGCGTGTGAGTTATGATGAAAAGATGATCTGAAAGTTTTTATTTAGTATTTCAAAAATGTAGAATTTTTCAAACAAACAACCAACCACCTAAACAGACAACAAACATAATCGCTCTCCAATCTAACAACAACAACATCCACAACCACACAACGACACAACCGATATTAAAGTTAAATGAACAAACTCTAAAAATTCCTCATCAATCTTCATTCCACCGCACTCATTGCTGGCATTACTCGTGTCCGTCCACATGTTAACAGATGGATGGATATAAATATTACTAACACCGTAGCAAATATCGTTGTATTCAATACCATTAACTTGTTAAATATATATTAGCAACACGCTTCAAATTACTAATAATACTAATACATGTTGCAACTGCATATTTTTATTACTCTGCAAATTAGGCTCTGTTAAACGCGAAGAATATAACAACATGCATTGCATGAAACCTGGAAAATAAGAATAGTGATAATAAATAGTTAGAATTACATTAAGTAAAACTAAAATGCTGTAAATTTTGATTTTGATGTTACTAAATTCTAACTCATCATTCAATATTACAGTAACTAACCAATATATTAGTAACGTGCTGAGTAGTATTAAGGCCCAGGAAGTAATGTTGAACGTGTCAGCGAGTGAGTATTTAGTCCATAGCAATAAAATGGAAAATGTTTATATTATAATGGGTGGAATGACGCTCAAGTTTCATTACTCATTCATTTTATTATTCAAGACGGTGATGAGTTTGAATGGTGGAAATGATGATTTTGCAAGAAAAATTATGGTGATGTTGTTATTATGATGACAATCATGGTGACGTTTTAACGTTTGCAAAGATGATGATGATGACGAAATAATAATACAATGATGACAATGATGATGAGATGTTTATGCTGATGGTGACGTTGGTGATAATGAAATGTGAAAAAAATATCATTATGGTGACACTAAATGATAAAATGGTGATCACATAATGGGATATCTGTAGCAAGATAACGATGAAGATGATGACTACTAATAAAAAATGGCTAGAACTATTATAATAATGATGACTGATAGTGAAGGATACAATTGACAATACGATAGATGATACAACTAATGATAAAAACAAGACAATAGTGATGATAACAAGATATCAAGATAGATGCGACAAAAAATAATGATAATAGATATGATGATGGTGAAAATGATAACATTGACATAATTGTGATAGAGGTATTTTAATTAAGTTTGTGGGCTAGGAGATTGATGTCGCAAGTGTAGTTTGCACCAAACTTGCAGGCTGTAAAATAAATTAGGACACAAATTAATGCCTGCATGTATTGGCTGACTGGCTGACTGATGATGTCCATGAACATAGACTGTGCAGTTTTTTGGGATCAGTTATTAGATTTCAACGATAAACATTGATTAAGATAAAACTAATATGAATAAAAGTCCAAACATGTCTAAAGAGTTACGAACAAAGCCAAATGAAATAAGATTTTAATGTTATGACACGGTAGCAACAGGGAGAGGAGAAAAAAATGATCGGAGCAAGTAAGGTGACTCTAATTAGGAACGAGGAAATTAAAAAAACCAGAGCGATGCATGTGTTTGGTTTGAACTTGACTAATTAAGGCTAGTGTTATTTCCAACGAGACTAACATGCTTTAACGAGAAGACAATTTTCTCCACTCAACTTCTTAGTTTAAAATTTTTTCGATCTATATAATCTTTATCAGATAAACAAAATTTATCAAAACAAAACAATCATGATGGTGACGACGTTACTACTACTACTACTACTACTACTACTACTACTACTACTACTACTACTACTACTACTACTACTACAACAATTACTACTACTACTACTGATAATAATAACTTCATACATTGTAAATGCACGTACGGTCAGTTAAGCTCGATGAAAAATAAAAAATGTCATTAAGAGAGGCTTTAAAAATCTAATTATGATGCGCTTGATCAAAAGAACTCGAGGAGAGAACGGAAGAAAAATAAATTGTCTGTTTTTAATGTTTTTGGTACCATGGCGGTCTTCTTATTGTTATTATTGTAATTATTATTTGTTATTTTTATTATGCTAACAATATTTATTATGGTTCTTCTTTTTTTCTCGTGAAAGTAGTATCAGAAAACATAGAAAGCTTAGAATTTCTAAGTGTGGCAAAGGTGAAGATAGGAATAGATAGTAAAAGATATAACTAAGGAGATACTAAATGCAATCTGCTTTTGCTTTATCTGGCCCTTTCCTCTGGAACTCTCTACCTCCTTCTCTGACGACTTCTCCATCACTTACGAACATCAGAGCGGATCTCAAGACCCATCTGTTTGCAAAATTCATTAAGGAACGCTGTTGAACATCGCGGAAATAGCGCTTTATATACTAATTGATTGATTGGTTGATTGGATAGTGATAATTTGAAATTCCTGTTGTTATCATCATCAACATTGTTAACGTTATCACCAAACAATTCTGCTTTCATCGTATATCATAGATATCATTATTATTATCAAATCACCACAACCATCATCATAATCATCGCATCCAGGTTTCCTTGAACGGTTACACAGGACCGGTCAGCTTCAATTCTCAAGGTCACCGAGTAAATTTCAGGCTAGACGTTCTTGAAATGACCTTCAACTCTGACGTCACAAAGGTCAGATGTTTTTGAATTATTGCGCCATTGAACGATTATTTCAATGAATTTTTGTGTTTTTGAAAAATATCAGCACTTTCCATTTATTTAAAATAGGTTCCGTGCAGAATCGAAGCAATCAACTTTTTCTTAATGAATGATAAATATGAGCAACCGAAAAATTTGAATGAATTTTCTAAAAAAAAAACAAAAGCATACAAACAACATACGAACAAACAACATTCAAACAACACTAGAACGCATACAAACAGCTTACAAAACCGGAAAACAAAAGCGAATTGAAAGCTAAAATATAAGTTGTGCCATACTTGAATGGAAGGTTTGAATGATGAATGCGAGCAACCGACCAATTTATCTACTTAAACGACATATGTGTGTATAATATAAATACATGTTTATGTGTGTGTGTGTGTGTATCTCATTGTTTAACCGACCACACTTCTTTTTCTTTCTGTGGTTCTAATTTATAGTGTTTATCTAATAGTTTCCAATGTAACGCAATCTTTTGAAGTGAAATATTTGTTTAGAAATGAGGATTTTCAGGGTTTTGTTAAGGACATTTTTATTATAAAATTTTAAACGAAAAATTTCTTGTTTTTAATTGTCAATATTTATTGGATAGATGCATAGTAAAGTGTGTCTATTTGATATTTTGGCGTTTAACATTCAGAAAATTATCAGAGAATGGCGTTAATGAATGATGATAGCGAAAATGCATTGTCCTTGGTTTTTCACGAGGGTTCATGTTCGTTCAAGCTGGTTGGAAATAACTTTTTCAGATATCAAAACGTTTTTTTCGTCAATTGCGTATACGAAAGAGACAAAATGCCAGGCTTTCATCCATCCATTTATTCATTCATCCATCCATCAATTCATTCATCCATCCATCAATTCAATCAATTTACTCACTCACTCACTCACTCACTCACTCACTCACTCACTCACTCACTCACTCACTCACTCACTCACTCACTCATCCATCCATCCATTCATTCTTCCGTCTAATGAATGCTCTCTTAATCTTTGACATATCGCACAATGCCTAGAGCATTTTTCAACAAATTTCTTATTTCAATTACATTCGCGAGAAAAAAGATTTTTTTGTCCAATTTATTTATTATATATTTTTATTTCTTTGTGATAATTAAATATTTTTATTATATTATTATTATTATCATTCATCATATTATTTTATCTTTTTCATCTTTGAAAATTTTGCAGATTTTTAAAAAATTCAATTAAGAATGCTTCCAGTGATGCTTCATAACACAAACAACGCCAGCATCATCATCATTATTATCATTTTATTCATTATCCACATCGACATCACTTTCATCATAATTCTCTTATCACCATCTGGCAAACCAACCTCAAAAACATTGTAATTTTCTACTTTTAAATTTCCACCTTCAAATCTCAACCTCATCATCACCATCATCATCATCATATTTACAGCATCATCACAACCATCATCTTCAGCATTATCATTGTCGTCACTATCACCATTCCATCATTACCACCACCATACCGTCCTCATCATACATTACAACGTTCACATCATCAGGTAGGTACATGGAATGACAGTCATCAACTGACGATCTTTGAGCCAAATATAACAGGCTCGTCCAGAGGAAACAACCACACAAAAATTCGCATCACTTCTATCATTGTTAGCATCTAAAACCTTATAAAATATTTTTTATTCAATTTTACCTGAATTACTGAAGTTATTTTTTTAGATAAATTTTTGAAACTTACATAAACTGATTAAAATACACGAAACGAAACGACACCTCTGAAGTCTCCACCCTACCTCATGTACCGGGTTCGGCGTCCAGACGAACCGCCATTAGTTGGCAACGATCAGTTCGAAGGTTACTGCAAAGAGCTTGCTGACAAAATCGCCGAAATCGTTCGGTTCGAGTACACGCTCAGGTTAGCATGGGTTGAGAAATTAAAAAAAAAAATTATCTTTAAATGACTCTTCTAATTGGAAAATAATTTTCAAAGATTGGTGGCAGACGATAAGTACGGAGTGAAACTACCAAACGGAACTTACAACGGCATGGTGGGCGAACTCACGAATGAGGTCGGTTTTATACTGCTATTACAGCCATAGCCACTACTACTACTACTACTACTACTACTGCTGCAGCTACTACTACTGCTACAGCTACTACTTCTACTACTGCTGCTGCTACTTCTACTACTACTACGTTTATAATTTTATAGTATCTGTAGTTAGTCAAGCTGGTAGTCTGAAAATGTGTGGCTATAGAAGATTAATTATTTTGATAACAACACTCCGAGAGAAACTATTGAAGGATGGTGCGTTTCAGATGAATATCACGGACACTGAAATTATAAGGCAGTAGTAAAAGGAGTAATAGTTAGTAGTAGTAGTAGTAGTAGTAGTTGTAGTAGTAGTAGTAGTAGTAGTAGTATTTTTCCAATATTCATATATGTAAAAATTCATACGCTTGTATATTGTACACACAGAAACGTACACAGGCAGTATTGTGCAAACATTCTTAAGAAAATTTAAACGCATGAATAACATCCGTGCGATCTGTAGATGATAAATGAGTCGATTTTGATTGATTAAAAACCTATTTCATTATATCCACCTAAAATAAATCCGTACGTTTATATGCGTTCAATCAATGTAGATATAAACATATAAACTCGCACCTACATAGATATAAACACGCACAAACACACGCACTCACTCACATACAAACACACACGCACATATCCATTGATATTACTTATTTACTTTTTTAATATTCGGGTTCTTTGAAAATCGTAAAGAAACTTTATGGCCGGGCAACAATTGAATTCGGACGAGCATCATTGTATTTATCGCCTCTCCAAATCAGACTCTTGCGCTATTTTAATGGTCCAACAAAAAGAAAGGAAAGCTGCCACGTGTTATAAAATGTTGGTAGTCTTCAAAATATGCTGTAGAGAATACGTAGTACAAAATGCGTGATACAAAGTACACTGTACACAATACGCCACTTTGTGTATAATACCTATTAAAAGTTACAGCTTGTAAAGGTTGTTTAACATAAATGCTAATGTTCTTTGAATGGAGATCAAGTAATTATGATGATATGTATCTAATATTTATACGATTGTCTTGATATATGTATCTGTATATGTATGTATATATAACAAACGCATATATAACAGATATTAACGTGCTCACAATCAATCATTAACGAACATCGCGTACGAGTATCAGATAAAGAATTTATTTTTTTCTTCCCATCAAACAGTATCAATCAAACACACAAGCAAACAAACTTGCAAACTTATATCAAACAAACAAACAAACATTAAATGAGACCATGTGGTTAAGCGTGAAATTTAATTTAAAACAAGGTTACTAGACTTTTATTTAAAATAAATATTAACAAAAATGATTTAGGCTGATAGAATCAAAAGATTCAATAGAATCATTGATATAAAGTAGGCTTCAGTTGGGCTAAGACTGGAAAATAAGAGTCAAATATTTCTACCATATCCCTAATATTTAAAAGGTATTATACACAAAGTGGCGTATTGTGTGCAGTGTACTTTGTATCACGCATTTTGTACTACGTATCCACACACAGGCACGAACACTCACACACAGACTTAGGTAAATGTTGGTAACCTACAAAAAATTTGAACAAACCTGTAATTTAGTTAGGAGTTTGTTATTGCAAGACGTGTCGTAGGACAGTCTGTATTGCCAGTGCAGGTTGTCACGCAAAATATTTTCAGCGTACATCGGCTAAGTTGATTAGATGGGTTCAGACTGCAGAGGATGTAATAAATTTTAAATATTTTTTTAAAATTTTATGAGTTTTTTCATAAAAATATTTCTGATATTTTTAAAAATGTATTTTCAAATTTGAGATGTTTAAAACTTCCTTCACATTCATCTACGTTTATTATATATAAAATCTTTAAGAATAGATAAATAAACTTTTTTATTGTTCATAAAAATTGCAAGGTTTGGTTTAAAGTATGTGAAAATTAGATTTTGGTAAACTTTACTAATTTGAAATTAATTAATCTAGCCATAACTAAAGAAAAATATTTTTTCGACATTTTTTGACATATTTACAGACATCGCTGATTCAATAGTTTTTCAACTTGCATCTTGGTTATGGGGACAGGCTTTTAACGAAAAATTCAAAATATTTCAAAATTCCATGAATGTTCTTGACATTCCTGATGACAAGGCTTTATTCGGTTTGCATACCTCCATGAATATGCACGAGCCAAACATAAATATATCTAAACATATGTCCATTTTTGGTTATGAGCTTTACCCACCACTACATATTTGAAGAACTGAAAAAACTTTACATGTCTTAGTAGGCAGGAACCTGATTCAAAATACTTCATCATTTGTGTTGATAAACGATTCGACCATTTCCAGATCACCAGGGTCGGTAAAAAATTTGGTATCGCTTTATTTGAGTTGTTGCCTATTTTGAATTTGATTTTCAAGGGCCGTTGGCTTTTTCATAAAGATAAAATGAACGTTGGACAAATGAACACGTACCAAACTATTCAATTATAAAACTTCTGAAGCGGACATGCATCATATGTGTAGATGAAAGATTGTTTATAATCATTTTTCAGAAATATTTATTTATTTCCACTGTTTTAAAATCAATTGGTTCGTTTTTGTTGATTTAATTTGTTGATTTATTTAAAATTTGAGTTATTAGAATGCCTATTAAAATGTTCTGTTGCGTTATTTGATTAATCCCATTTAATTTATTCAATTTGAACAAAATTATGTCGTATATTAAACTTTTTTTGGGCAAATTTAATTTATCAAATAATACGATACAACATGAGAGACGTGAGACAGAGACACGAGACAGAGACATGAGACATAGACATGAGACATAGACATGAGAGACATCTCGACAAACACACATACATACATATACTTACGTTACATCAATGTTAAATGACGCGTTACACTGAATAACAAGCTGATGGATCATGCTGATATTTCTTTCCAACACGAAACAGCCACATTGTCAGCAATCAATTTATTATTCTTTTCCAGAACATAAATGTGAATTAATCACAGAAGCGAGAACACGACAGGAGATTCATTAAAAAGTGTATACGCATATTTAATCACTCGTATAGAAAAAAATTTATGTTGTAGCAGATCATGGCGTGGTTTATGAAGATTTAGCATTTTATTTGAAAAATAAACAAATTAGTTAATCAATTGGAGTGTAAATTACTTTTCGTCCTATGAACGTTATTAAACAAATAATCTCTTAAGTAAATTTTAGCACATATGAATTTTTATTTAAAAAAAGTTAATTTTTTTTCTATTGACATTGAAGAGAATTTATAGTTTTAATAAGACTTATCTCTTGAATAATTGTCTCCTAAATTTGATACTCTGTCTACGGCTTGCTTTCATTAAAATTTTACGTTATAAATTTTGCTTTAGTGTTTTCAAATTTTCAAAAAAATCGTTTTTCGTTCGACTTTTTAAAAAGGATTATTTAATAATTCAGGCTACCGTATAAGTTTTAAACACGATAAACTTTCTGCTTATCTATACAAAATGCTTTTTTGGTCGGAAACAGTTTTTTTTAGATAGTTGTTTAACATAAAATGAAAATATTTTCAAATAGTTTAATCAAAATGTTATTTGAACTTGTTGCTGCACATGCTTTTTATTCTGCTGAGTCTATTCAATGCTTCTTCAACATAGGTAGGTCTTTCTCCACATCGTTTGTTTTTACTGTTTAAATTTTGCAGTATTTTGGTTACTGTTTTTAATCTGAGAGTTGTGACATGAAAATTACTCTGACATTTGCAACTGGATGTAATTCACAGTGTATATTTAACTTACATGAAGCAATTGTGCATGTGCAGAGCCCACAGCTGTCCATGATAGCACACACACACACACACACACACACACACACACACACACACACACACGCACACACACAAACCCACACACACACACAATACACGCACACAAACCCACACACACACACACATGCAGTCGGTTTTTTAAAACATTTTAATGTTCATACGTTCGCTCGTTGAAGAGTTGTGAAAGTCTGACGTGGCGAATGCCCGTCACGGGCGCCACACGCGACTCTTATTCACCGTAAGATCTAACGAAACGAGCTTTAATGACCACATTCAGCGATACAACGTTACGACGATTTCTTTTTGTTAAAAAAGGAATTTCGTTTATTCTTTTGTTTCGCATATAAAGAAATGTGAAATAATAAAATAAGGAAAATAAGATGAAATATTAGTGGCGATAGTGATGATGAATGAAACATCAACCTTGGAATGAATGCCAGCAGTCAGGCAGACGATAACAACGTTAAAAATCGTAATGCGCCAATCAGAAAAATCTTATTTTCTTGTCATTCATTGTTAGCAGACGTCAAAACGTTGCTAGCCAACTTGAATGAGTGTCAGTCATGACGCAGCGAATAAAATTGTTGCGAAGTTAAATATTTTTCAGACATTTTAGACGTTTGACGCACATTTTTCAGATATTATAATTAAGATTAACAGGAAGGCAGAATTAAGCAGCTACCATATTAAATGGCGTCACCACCCAACATAAACAGAAAATTTACATTCAAATAATTTCCAATACGAATGAAAACTTTTAAAAGCCAACGGGAGACAGACGCCAAAAAACATTCACAGCAGACAGACACACACATAATGATAACATTACAAGTTATAAAGTTAATTTATTACTATTTCAATTGCTTGATCAAATTCAACGAACATGTTAAAACCAGTAACGAAGTAGAAATAAATAACACATAAAGTAACATATTCATCAGCAGCCCAAAACAACAGAGAGCAGCAGTTAAACTGAACCATGCCGACAATCTATTGCATAAGCCAGCCTATCAAGATAGGTTTATTCAGAAAAATTTTAATAGAAAAATTTACTCTGAAAAAATTTTATTTTTATTTTATTCACTTCTCAAGAAATTAATTTAAGAATTGTTTACTTTGAAAAATAATCACATTTTAAATGACATCTTCAATCATTATAGAAAATTTACAATACGAGTGAAAAAAAATTTGGTTTCATAATCGCAAAAAATTTTATTTTTATTTTATTCACTTCTCAAGAAATTAATTTAAGAATTGTTTACTTTGAAAAATAATCACATTTTAAATGACATCTTCAATCATTATAGAAAATTTACAATACGAGTGAAAAAAAATTTGGTTTCATAATCGCAAAAACGAATACTAGCCCGAAACACCAACCAACCAGGTGGCAGACCTAGCCATCGCACCGCTGACCATCACCTCCATCAGAGAGGTGGTCATCGACTTCAGCAAGCCCTTCATGATGCTGGGCATCAGTGTGATGATCAGGAAACCGGACAAGCAGAAGCCAGGGGTACTCTCCTTCACGGATCCACTGGATTATAAAATCTGGCTTTGCGTCGTGCTCGCCTACAGTGGCGTCAGCTTCGTCCTCTTTGTCGTCAACAGCTTCAAACCGTACAGTCTACACGCTGAAGATCATCATCACAACCACCGCGGAGATGATGATGATGATAACATCGCGAACGGCGGATTTAGAGGGATTTTGAGAGAGTTGTATCCGTTAAATATTAATGAAAATATAAACTGCCGCAATAATAACAACAACAGCAGCAGCAATAACAACTCTAACAACAATTTCAATTACGCTTTCAACGCGGATTTAGAAAACAGCAGCAGTAGCAACAACAAAAACAACTACAACAACAACTGCTATTACTACAGTCCGCGATCCTACAACTACCTGTCGACACTGGCGACCACAACAACAGCCGCAAATAATCAAAACAGCAACATCACCAGCAACAACATCAACAACAACATTGAATATCGCTACGTACAGCAACGACAGCAACGAAGCAAGCACGTAGACATTAGCGGAGATGATGGCGAGGATGATAATAACGATGTTAAATTTCAACATCGGCGACGTGCTCGCGGTGATAACGATGCCAATGATGGCGATGAAGACGACGACGCTGCCAATGATGATGACGACGATAGCAATCATTTTAATTTACTCAACAGTCTGTGGTTCTCACTGAGTGCCTTCATGCAACAAGGGTGCACGCTTTCTCCTAGGTTGGATTTAGTCTTACTGAAATTGTTTTACATGCCTCCATGTAACTGTTATCATTTACGGGAGTGGCCGTAACCAAGACAGTAATATAGTATCAGTAGTATTTGCTGTTTTAAGGTCGGTGTAAGTGGTTACAAAGTTAGTTAAGTTTCTATCACTTCGGTAGCAGTTTCGGTAGTGGAAATAGTATATTCACCGTTGATCTAAAATTATTTTGTAAATTTTTTGTAAACTAATAAAGCAATATATAAAGTAACAGCAGTATTTGTAGTATCTGCCGTTGTAAAATTGCTGAAAATAGTTACAGCGTTTGTATGGCTTATATAAATGGCAGAAGCAGTGGTAGAGTTAGTTCAAGTGGTTGCAGTAGTAATAATAACAAAAGTAGAATTAGTAGTGGTGGTAGTTAAAGTGCATTACCTGTTCTTATGAGTTTATTTCAACATTTTTATCGTAAGAATATTTCACAATGACGTATGTCTCAATGAACTGAAAGAATTTTAAGTTTTAGGATGGTCTTTATTTTAGTATAACATTTTGAGTAATTTCTGAAAAAAAGAAAGAAATAAATTAACAAATAATTAAATATTTTTAACCAAAATTATTGTTAGATTAATAAATTATGTTTATTCCAAAATTATAGTAATACTAATAATAGTAAATTAACCCGTGAAAGATCTGTATCCGGTCGAGTGGCGGGTAGTAGCTGGTGGTTCTTCACGCTCATCCTCATCTCCACGTACACAGCCAACCTGGCAGCATTTTTGACAGTTGAACGAATGCTGACACCCATCGAATCTGCCAGTGACCTCCCGAAACAAAATCAAATCGCATACGGGACATTGGATGCCGGCTCTACCAAGGAGTTCTTTAGCGTTAGTATTGCTTTGGATGTTGTTGTTTGTTTGTTTGCTTGTGTGTATGTGTGTGTTGTGTATGTGTGTTTGTAAAAACCTTCAAAATGTAATGACGAATGAAAACGTGTTGTTAGAGATTATTGTACGAATATGATTAGAATAATAATTTTCCTTTAATGGCTGAAATGTTTTTAAATTTAAACATCAAGTTGAGCGTGGCACGCTTACGTAACATGTAGAATAGTTAATTTTTAAATTGTTTCTAACATTTTGCTAATTAAGTAAATACATCATTCACTATTTTTAAAATTTTTACAAAATTTCAAGTTTAAACTATAGCGGACCATGTGCGAATGATGTCTATAAATTCAGAAATTCGATTTCGCCTGAAAAATTTTTTTTTTCATCAACGACTGAAAATTTTTTAATAAAATGAAGAAAAAAAATATTATCACAAATTTTTATTCTCATTTTATCCAAAATCATTATTTTTAAATTCCCGACAAAAGAGTACATCACGGAATAATATAATTTGCTTGAACGCCTCACAAAGCACTTTTAAGGAACTTTGAAGAAAATAATTTTTTTTCCCAAGAAAATTTTATCTCTAATGAAAAGTTCAAAAACGTTCTAGTTTGTTGTGATAATAATTTTCAAAAAAAAAACACCCATTTGATAACATACACTAAGCAAATAAACTCAATGATAAATTTATGTTCATCAGAACTTGTCATTGATCATTTAAAAGTAAAATAAGAAATCAATGAAATTTTGGTGAAAGTTATATTTACTTCTGTCATGCCATACTTTAAATAACAAGTAAGACAGAATCTAATAATCCTGAAATGCTTAACAGTTAAAAATATTAGTCACAGTTATGGTCAGAAAAAATATTTTAAAATGATTGTAAAAATATCAACATTTCAAAACAATCAACCCCAAAAAATTAAAAAAATACCACAACTCACCAACATAAATAAAAACTGCAGAAAATATACTGCAGACCGGATTGGATTTAAAAGTCTTTCGTTGTCACAATTAAAATGAGATGCACGCTCCCTGCATTCATAAGCAACAAACAACAGCACATATTCATCGTACTTCATGCTTCTTATGATTGTTGTGACCACCCATTTCACAGAAGCAGTTGGCATTGACTCTTAATATTTAATTTTAAATTTAAAAAAATACAACAACTAACAAATTCTATCTCCAATTTGTAAATGATTGCTTTTTCAATAGGCACTAAAAACAATCACAACCACCGCTAAACCAACCACAAAAAACAAAAACAGCAAAAACAGCCACGAGAATCTTAAGAAGAACCAGAGCTGAAACATCGTAGAGAGCCATATAAACCATAATACGGCATAGTGAAGTCGGCTTATCCCAATGATTGATTTACGCGGTTGTATCTCTCTGTCTTTCTGCTCACAGAATCAGAATTAGGATTATTCTTATTATCAACATTAATACCACTACTGCAAATTTTACTACTAAAATTACTACTGTTGTTTATACCGCTACGACAACAACTAAAGCTACTACTACTACACTACTCTTGCTGCTGCTTCTTCTGCTACTACTACTACTTCGACTATAAATACGTTTAAAATGAGTAAATCAAGCATTTTTTCTTTACAATTATTTGAAAATGTTTGTATTTTCAAAACCTTTTTATTTCGCAAAAGTTTAATGTCCATTTCCCGATTTTTTCGCCAAAATTGTTTGGCAGAATTAGTATAGGCTACGATTGCACTTCATGTTTCAACATTTTCATAAGAAAATCTGTTTTTATGTTCTAAATATTTTATATTAATATTAAATTAGAAAATTTTTAGAAACTTTAAGTTTGGCCTCCGACGCAACTAACATCATCATTTATAAAAGATGGCAGTTAAAGAAAATTTTTTTATAACAGCAGTAGTAGTAGCAGTAGTAGCAGCAGCAGCAACAAACTTAGTAGTAGTATCAACTGTAGCAGTAGCGAAAAAAACATTTGATGGGAAAGAGAAGAACGCAGTGTACTTGTGGAAATCGTAATAGCTGATTTATAATAAGCGCCTGTAGCTATCGCAGCAATAACAATCATTATTGCCATTGTTTCTGCTGTAGTTAAAAGAACTGCCATGTGGATTGCATGATTTTTTCAATATATTATTGTTATATTATCATTATTATTTTGTCAAATCCAGTTTATTTCTAGGCTGAATTTGTCCTTTCTGCGTGTTTTGTTTATGACGGTGTAGTCATACATACATACATATGCGTCGGTATTACACATCCTCAATAGTTTAGACCATTGGCTAGGCAAAACATGTTTAGTGTTACGATATTTTTTAGTAGTAGTAGTAGTAGAAGTAGTAGTAGCAGTAGTAGTAGGTAGTAGTAGCAGTAGTAATTGTGGTGTTAATGCATTCATGTAATTAAAAAGAATTCAATTGGCCCATGCAATGAATAATAGACGTGATGAGCGCCATCCATCATAATCATCTGGACTTCATCGTCGTCGTCATCATCATCATTTTATCTTTTATCTTCATCTTTATCATTATCTTCATGTTCATTATCATCGTCATCATCATCACGTATATTTTAATCATCACCATTTTCATCATTGTGTAGTAGTTGTAGTAGTAGTAGTAGTAGTAGTAGTAGTAGTAGTAATAGTAGCAGTAGTAGTAGTAGTGGTAGCAGTAGTAGTAGCAGTAATATTATTATTAGCGGTAGTGGTTAATGGTCGTCATTCTCGTCATCATTAATATCACCATACTCATTATCATCGTCGTCGTCTTCGTCATCATCTCCTGATTGCAATTAATTCACACGTTAAATCATCATCGTCAGCATCATCGTAGTCACCAACTTCGTCATCTCCTTCACTAACTTCATCATCGCCATCATCGTAGTCGTCCTCACCGCAATTAACGCCATACGTTACAATCGTTATTACTTGCACCACCGCTTCTAAATCACACACAGGTCAAAGCAGTTCAAACTTTTCGCATAATAATAGAATTAATTATGGATAGCACAATAATAACGATTATTATTATTAATTAAAAAACGTTATAATAATTATTATTATTATGACAGCAATAACCAGAATGACAATAAAATTATTACAATTGGTTTTTCCATCATTTTTTTAAGTCATCCTTCAAAAATCATCACTATTATCATCATTATGGTCATCATCATTTTCTTCTTCTTTTTCATCATCGTCGTCATCCTTTGACCTCATCATCATCATCTTCTTCATCGTCGTCGTCATAATTAACTTTTCTTCTTTGAGAATTTTTGACAAGCGCATGGTCTGTAATAATTGGAGTTCGTGATGCGATGTTTGCATGTGTAACAGTCTACCTAAACAATATATATTGTCTATTATAAATTCTTATTATGAATATATATATAAACTATACCTGTATACAACTGATTGCCCTGTGATCAATTTTTTATATATCATTATAAAATAATGGATGGCAGAGCAATTCCATCCATCCATCCATTCATTCATTCATCTATCAGTTTTTATAACAGTTTATCGTCCATCCATCTAGCATCTGCTTATATTAAATGTGGTTGTGTCAAACTAATTGAGACATTATGAAACAAGACATAATTAATTTGTTTAAATTTGAAACAAACACATGATTTCGAATAAAAATTTTTGGAAATTAAGCATAAAATAAGGTACTTTGTTAATGAAATTTCTAAATAATTTTCAATTTTAAGTGCATGTTGTAGTTGCAAATTATACTTGTTGTCACTTTAACACATTTAATCTATTTAGATTCTAATTGAAAATTTCGCTAAATAACTTTTGTATACATAACTGCAAAATAAAAAATTAATGGCACTGATAACTTTTCAATCTTAAATCTTAAAAAAAATATCGCCTGCCGTAACGTGAAGTAGAAACAGGTAAGAAGGTAGCAAGAACTCGTAACATCATACTCAGGCAACCGTATTCTCACATCTGTCTCAATCTTCGAAATTGGGCAAAGCAAACAAAGGAATTTTTCAAAATGCTTTGCAGTTATCATTTATCTCTCAGAAAATTGAGATTTTTTCCCCTAAAAGGTTTTGTAAAAAGAAGCCGCCACAAAATGGATTCGTTTCTTCTGGCACGTTGTTTCTCGTTCTCATTTTTTCTCTACCACGGTTCATATTTGCATTGCCTCAAAAGCTCACGTAGATGAATAGAGGTCAATGTCATTTATCCAACAAAAAAAACCACACCACTATCCTGCATTTTTCACTCATTGTTGTTTTTTTAAGAGTGAATTGATACATTTTTCAGAGTGCCGTCAACTGGTTTATGCGTGTGTGTGTATGTATGTATGTCTGTGTGTGAGTGTGTGTGTGTATATGTATGTCTGTGTGTGTGTGTTGATTTGACTGACGTGGTCATAGAACAAGCATAGTGGACAGTTTGAAAGGTTGGACACTTGCTCATTCGTCTGGCTGCCTCATTAGAATAGCACTGAACACGCTATGGGATGTTTGAGAGAGATGGAAAGTGTTTTTTATGAATTGTCGGGAATCGTTCATAATAAATTGAGTTGTTGAGTGATTGATGGATGTAAAATAGAATAAAAAAGAATGGTGTAAAAATAAGAGTTTTGGTATTAAAAGTAATATGGAAAATGTCTGAATGATGATTGAATGGAAGAGCGCATGAATCCAACGACTGATGGATGGATTGAAGTTTGTTCGGATGAATAAATCCCTCCTTCTATTCGGATGAATAAATCGCTCCGTCCATTAGGAAGTGATAAAAAATGTGAATAAAAAATGAAAGTAGCTGTGCGTGAGTGTGTGAATCTCATTCAATTGCTAGATAGGAGGTCATCATTTAAGAAGATAATCAAATAGCATTATTTGTACAAATGATAAATATGAAAAAAATGTATATCTTTTAACTAAATCAAGAAAATGTTTCAACAATCTGACAATGTTATGTAGGTAATAGGATTAACACAAAATGCTTTCGGCAATCAATTGAACTATAACTTACTGAACCGATGAGAAATTGTTATTTGGATGTTGTTCCGTGCTAAATCTATTTCTAACTCATTATTTATATTCCAATGAAACTTAGTATAGTTTAAAAATGTGAAAATTTTGGTAACGCAAAATAATACGAATGAATGTAAACCGGTAGACGTGAGATTATATGCGCAGTTACCAAATTAATTGACACAACTAACAAAAGTAATAAAAACTAAAGCAAAACAAAAAATAACTAAACGTAGATAGCAGTACGAAAATAAACAATGTAATGAAAGATGGAAGGAGGAAACGGATGAAGGAAGGAAATGGATTTGGACGGAAAGAGAGAGAGAGAAAGAGAGAGAGAGAGGAAGAGAGAGAGAGAGAGAGGGAGTGATTGGCCCTAATGAAGTTAGCCAGTGTTTTTCTTGATTGATGGACTGCTCCAGGTCAGGACTGCGCCTAGATGGATGGATGGATTGACAGACAAATGGATGGATGAATGAATTGCTACATGGGTGATTGAACATATGTTTAAATAAGCTGACGATTGATTAAAAAGCTTTGTTAGAGCAGTTTATGAACGCCAAAAAAATGTTGCGGTAGGTTTTTATTATAAAAAGTTGAAAGAACAACTTTAAAACACTGCTTGTATAAACGTGTTGCCCAAACAGCGTTAAACAAAGTAACTCTCAAAATAAATTCATTACCGTCAATTCAAAACCAATCAAAAACAAAATTGAATCAAACTAAATTACCAAATTTACATAAAATATACAATTTGTAAAAAATCATATCACACCATGCCGGCAACTAAAACCTGCCCCTGCCCCCTCTACAGACGTCTGGAGTAACGGAGTACAAACAAATATGGGAGTACATGCAGAAGAACAAGGAGGTGTACGTGAAGACAACAGAGGAAGGGGTAAAGAGGGTACGAGACTCCAAGGGCAAGTACGCATTTCTGCTCGAATCCACCATGAATGATTACTACAACCAGAAGAAACCATGCAACACGATGAAGGTTGGACCTGACCTCGACACGAAGGGGTATGGAGTGGCTACAAGGCTCAATCATTATCTGAAGTTAGACTGCTGGATTGTTTTATCAATATTAAAATTATTTCATCTCTAAATGTTGTCTTAAACATATCAGGTTTATTTATTTCGTCAATATGTGATAAAGGAAATTTTTTTCGAATTGCTAAAACTTTCCTTTATTCAAAATCGAACTCTACAATCATCATCTTTATAAAATATTATACGATACTACTGCTTTGAATGTTTGAGCTAGCGTTATTAATAAAACTAGATAGACACTCATTCATTTAAAACTTATATGTTTTGAAAAATAAACTCAAAAAACATTTTCACTATGAAAATAATTTTTTCTCCAAATAAAATATCCAGGGATCAAGTTGGATTAGCAGTGCTGCAGTTGAAGGAGAAAGACGAGCTGCAGAGATTGCATAAGAAGTGGTGGTTCGACAAGGGAGAGTGTGCTGCTGAATCTGAAAAGGTAGGTAGATGTGGCACGTGCTTCAATGATTTTTATTTACATAAAAAAATTTTGATATTGCAGGCGAGCGGTTCGTCACAGAGATCACTGACCTTGAGTCACGTGGCAGGCATATTTTACATTTTGGTCAGCGGTCTACTTTTCGCGTTAGTCGTCTGTCTGCTGGAATTCACTTATTACAAAAAGAAGAGGAAAACTAAGAAAAAAGTATTTTCATAGCATTACATACCCTGCAAATTTTATCGAAGAATAAGGAGATAACTTTTTTTTTACGAAATTTAAACGAAAACCTTTACCTAAATTTTTCAACTCTATACACTTAAGCGATTAATGATTTTGTTTTCAAAACATGCAACAATATTTTTTAAACTCAGAAATCAATAAGCAGAGTAAAACAGAAGGAAGCTACAACATCCACCGATGACATGAGCAGCAACGGCTTCGACGACACCGCAACATCTCATCAAACCACCTCGCGACCAACAACGACAACCACTGCATATCAACGAATGCCACAAACATTGCCATCGTCGCAACTACAACAGCAACAGCAGCAGCAACAACGTCGATACCATTCAGACAACCCTTACTCGGCGACAACCACTACCACATCGTCAACACATGATCTTAACTGTAGTTCTTTCAGCAGTTTTCAAGTCAGTCGATCTTTTTTTTAACGATAAGTAGCAATAATTGAAATGAAACAAACAAACCATACTCTCGTCTAAATTTTATTCCGATTTTATCATACCATCGTAATAAAAATTTGAAATTGAAATTGAAAAAAATTTTATTCCCCCCTAAAAATATTTACGTTAAAATGAATTGTAACAAAAACTAACGCAGACGTGTGACACATCATTGATGACGTCCTCCTTAGGCAGGCTTGGAGGCAGGGACAAAAAAATGGTGACGTCATGATGATGATGACGATGATGATGGTGGTGTTGGTGATGATGAAGTTTATATAAAGTAATTAATACATTAATTATTTAATTTTTGTAAAAATTAAATAATTTCATCTAATCTCCGCAGCATCATCTCACAAGAAGTGCCCTAGCAATTGATGCAGCGACAGATCGACCTCTGACCCCATGGCGATGATGATGACCATGACCTTGACCTTGACGTAGAGAAGGAGGAGAAGGGCGGTGATGAAAATGATGATGGCGAAAACGTTGATGATGACAATGATCAAACTGATGATGATGTAAACTTTGATGACGATAAATTAACTCTACTGTTAAGCAATAATGAGATTAAAAGAAACTCAACGATCTAATTAACGAACACCCTTGATAGCGACAACAAAGATGATAATGTATAGTAGAATTGTAGAGAATAGGAATTGAACTATAGCACTTGAAATTATTATGGTTGACCAACTTCTGAAAGTTTTGGCGTTATTGCGAAAGCATTTGCAATCACGTTATTTTTATTTTTCCTCCAAATTATAATTCATAAATGACACCAATGACAATCTTGTAATGTGTATATATCGGAAAGTAAACGCTAGGACAATCTCAGTCTGAATCCCCCTGACATCAAAGGATTAAACTTTCCACCACATGGCAACACTATGTTTTCATTTTTTTTTTCAATTTCGTCGGTGAGTCAGCTTTAGTTCCAGAAAATGAAATTTAATTTAAAGTTTTAATACAGCAGACGCTGGGCGACGCTGTTTATTTTAACATTAAATTATTTTTGAATACCTTTTAAAATTATTTGTATTATTTCTATCGTTATATTAGTACGTACATTTGAAATATTCACTGAAGTTTGTTTTGGCTGTTTCTTATATTGTATAAAATTTTATTGAAATTATCATTATTTATGGAGTTTAGATTTTATAAAATTATTATTATTTAACTATATTTATAACGGACATCAATCCTTTATTAGTAATATGTGTTAATTGCATATCTGAATCAATTAGCTTTCTGATTAATTAATTAATTAATTATTTATTTAACTAATTTAATAACTAATTTATTAACTAATTCAACGCGTTCGTTCACTCAAATTGTTCAAACCGTGTACCAACGTTGTTACTTTAAGACTTAGATCGTGATGTGATTATAATATTAGTAGGTGAATTATTTTTTTGTCAAAAATAAACTTCAGTAGCAAAATATCAAGACAGTGACGAGAAGAAGTTTTATATTTAATAAATTTAAATAATTGATTATTCTAGTACTGCAACCAAAATGAATATTTTTGTTACCTCACTGAGTATTACTAACTCATTTTCCATATATTTCGAGACATTCAATCATGAAGCAATATTTAAAGTAAAGATAAATTCTTATTATTGTTGAATTTTTGTTTAAAAATTGCGATGTTTACCTAACTTGTAAAATTTAACATTTCTAGTCGTTATTGTATTTTCACCATTGGTTGATTCTTGTCCATACAACCAAACACCTCGATATTTTAAAAATTTTTGTTTATTTATTTTTGTTTCTGAAATTATTTATGAATTATTTATTTATAAAATTATCTCTAGAATTTATAATTTATTTTTCGTGAACTATCAAAAAAATTATTAAGATATTTCAAATCAAAATATTGTTTGTTATATCAAATGGATGTAATGTAATCAACTGGAATATCAAACGTTTCGTGTTTATCTCAACATAAAGTTTTTTCGTTCGCTAAATGTTATTGTACTAACCATGTGAACTTACTTATTGTGTGTTTTACAAAAAACTTACCAGTGTCGAAAATGTCTTCGTTACAGCAATAATACCTTTAACAAAACTTTGTTCATTTTTTTTATTTTGTATTATTAAAAATAAAAAATTGTAAAATACATTTAACTATTATACCAAAAAATTAGTTAGTTTTGTTAGAGTTATATTCAAGATGTCTTCTTTGATTAAACCGTTTACTGAAGATAACATGACTTACTGCTGTTTTGAGAAAATTAAGTTTGTAAATAATGAACCAACAGTTTGTGACAAATTTAACACTGTCAACAATATATAATTTTAACTCTTTTATCTACCATCTCTTTAATATTCATTTAGAAACAATCATCTCACAGGTTAGCAGAAATATTTAACAAATCAAAAAATATTCTCCGTTAGCTCAAATTTCAAAATGCAACAATGAACTTTCGGTAATTAATTTTTGACACGGTACCGATGTAATATAGTTGTGCTTACGATTTTCAACAAGCCAACTATTACGAAGAACCCGGGTTACGCGTGTGTTGTCTATTTCGTTCGTTTATTAACAACATTTCTATATATAAATATATTTAAAAAGAGAGAAAAAGGAAAGAAAGAAAGAGAGAGAGAGAGAGAAAAGAGAAAGAGAAGAGAGACAGAACATTTGAATGCCAAAGCATGCATGTTGATTTTATAGCATAATTTGGACCAGATTTTTAAATATCCCCAGTGTCGAATGGTAGCATGATTATTATGACGAAAATATAACTGCAAACTGTTGAGCAGTTCATCAAATATCTTTAAATAAAAATGTTTTAAATAGTTTTAAATGAAAAATATATCAAGATCTTTTAAATTAATTTGCATTTTTCAACAAGTTAGTTTTTATAAAAACTTTTTGTGAAAATAAAATGCACTGGTCACTAGTGCTACTTAATTTTGTTAATCTCTCATTGGCTGGAGAACGAGGTTATTTAACTGATTCATCTTTTATCGTCATCATATTTGACATATTTTAAAATTATTTCATCTTTGCTGCAGCATGGAGAGTTAATTGCATTCCTCATTAAGCAACATCATGACATCATATCGTTCTGTTATCACTATATTACATCATCGTATCATCATACTGAAGCGGCAACATCGTTTTGTTCTCTGTGGAATATCTCAATTTTTATCATCATTGTAATCATTCATTGTAAATTTTTAAAACTATTTTTTAGTGTTTTAGTCATTTTGAATTTTTGAATTTTTGAATTTTTTATTTAAATTAAACTATCAATAAGTCATATTTTACTTTTTGGTAATTTTTTTCCAACTATGTACTTCAATACCATCCCCAGTCAACATTATCATCATAAACACTATTATCTTCATTGTCGTCGCAATCACCATATCACCGTTACCAGTTCTGCCAGCTACCAACAACCATTGTCCTCTGTCCGTAGAGGGCAGGTCAGAGTTCAAATATCCCAAACTGACCGTCTACAAAATGAACACTGCGCTGGTCAACCTTGAATTCGTCCAGTTGTATCATTCTCATTTACGTTCTTTGCTACTAATTCAGGCTGATAAGATGGAATTGTTAGATACCGGATGTAGAGATTTGTATGAGCAGCCTAAAGACAGTAATGCTCACAACCAAAATCATACTCACATACCAAGATTGAAATACGAGGTTCTTTATAAATGGAAATCTAGTGAATGTCACAAGGTTAATTGACATGTTGGTTCTCTCTATCTCTCTCTTTCTATCTTTCTCTCTCTTCCTTTCTTTCACACACATATACACACTAAAGTTTATGATTGCAAGTGTGATTTTTTACATTTTTTTAAATAAGTGTTCGTAATTTATAAGAATATAATTTTTTACAGAGTTAATAATTTTTCATCTGACCATTAAATAAAAACAGAAACATTTTAAAAAGGCTTTGATATGAACCAAGGTGCTACTTGCAAACGCAAATGCAAAACAATAAAAAATAGCAATGATAAAGCAAGAAATAAGAATACTAATAAATTATTCAGTAAACGAGGTGCGAGTATCAAAAATATAAATAGAATTAAAAAACCAACAAAAAAGTTAAAAAAAAACAAAGAATACGGCAATGAACTTCAAAAGAGAGCCGCGACCAAATGAATGGCACTGCTAAAGTGTACTTAACTGATGACGGGAGAGAAACATCTTAAGTGGGATGGCTGGCTGTAAATTGGGTAATGAAAGTTTAATGGGCTTCAAATTGAAAAGAAGATAGTGATGATGATGAAAATTTCAAATCTTTTTTGTGCAAAAATAATGTTTCGATATTACATAGACTACATTACATATTTTGCATTACATATATTACATCACAGATATGACATTACATATAGTACTTCAAATATATAGCATTACGTATATAACAATGACAAAAACTACCTGCAGTTGTTCGTAATGTATGTTATACAACAGCTGTTATGAGTAAATAATATTATGAAACTTTCAGTGCTTGCTCTTCCAGAGTAAATTATTCAGTCACGTGATTGATCTGCGTGACGTCACTTCATCAGCTGATCGTAAGCGTTTCATTGAAGACAGTAACGCGGCTGCCACTACTTCCATTTTCAAAAAGTTTTTTAGAAATTTTAAAAATCGTATTGAAGAGAATGCTGCTACTGATAATGTAACAAATGACAAGAAAGACCATAAAAAACCTGATATTGGTGGAAAGCGTGGATGCAAACATTACAAGTATAACATCACCAACGACAATAACATCAACAACAGCAACAAAGACATTGATAACATCAACAAAGACAACAACATGACAACAAGAAACATTGATGTCGGTAACAGTGGTGACATTAATCTCAACAATTCCGTCTTATCCTCGTGCCATCATCGCATTCAAACCAAGTACAGAAACGACATTTTCATAAGTCTTGTGCTTAGTTCGGATCATGATGAAGATGACGATGAAATTATTTCAAGGTAATTATAATAATAATAAAAATATTAATAATAATATTAATAATAATATTTCTTATCATTATCAGATCCTGCATATTGAAAGACTATTCCTTCCTAGACAAAGGCGAATATTACATAGAGGTGTCATTAAATGAATCAACGTTGGCTCTAAGTTGCCGGGTTCAACTGCTTAACCAACCAACTGATTCATTTTTATGTTAGTTTGGAGAGATTTATTTTTTATTGTATAAAATTAATTTTTTATTATAAGCACTGTCTAAATGCTAAAAAATCATAATTGTGAATGTAAGTATTATTTATTTAATTAAACTAAACACATTAGTTTGTTTATATGAATAAATAATCAATCAAATAATTTATTAAACCACTATCGTCAGACCTATATGCTGTGCTTTTATTTTACGTTTCTCTTACCATACTATGGACCACCAAAGTTATTATAGTCAAGTGGAAGTTGGTATTGTTGATGATGATGATGATGCAATGATGATGATGATGACATGACTAAAACATTTATTGTGATGATGATGAAGATGATGATGATGGACCAATTTTTTTCAATGTTCAAACTCAAAATAAATATCGCAAACAATTTTTCACTACTTGCTTCATAATCGCGTTTTCAGAAAAAAATATGATTGTCTATCAAAGAAAAAGTCCGCGAATGTTTCGGAAGAAATTGGAGATAGCGAGGACATCACAGTCGTTAAATTTTTACGATCGTTTTGATTGACTACCAATTAATTTTTTTACATAAACCTGTAAATTTTCAAAAGTTACTCGTTGCCCAAATTATTTAGATTATAACTAATTAATTGAATATGAAATAAAATAGGAAGAAAACAAAAACAACACAAAAACATAAATTTTTACATATCAACGCTAATTAATTTGTTGTACACGCAGCATCCAACAAATGAAATTTTGACAGCTACTAACGTTTGCACGAATGGAACTTACAAAATAGCAACAACCATATCAAGTCCTGTAATTCAGTTACCTACAGTTTGTAATGGAACAAACGGCTTGAATGATGAAGATCGTTCAACTCTTCAGCATGAATCTAAGATAAAGGCATGATAAAATATGTTTTGAACTTTTAAAATGAAAGCAGATTTGATGAGTTATTTAAATTATTTAACATTCAGTTGAATGAAACTTTGTTTCACACATTTTTGACGCAACCCAAACATGGAATTGCCTTAAAAACATCGGTTGTAACAGCTACTGCAACTGCAAAGACAAATCTTAGAAAATCAATCATTTCAAGACTTTTCGCAAAAAATAAACTATTTGATCAAAATAAAATCATAAAACTACAACAACCAAAAAAACTACCCAAACGACAAGGGCAACTATGTCACTCAAACAGCTTGCAACAACCAGATGTTCCAAATCCTCGCTCTGCAACTATCAACCGATACAAAAATATTCCATCTGATAACAAATTAAACGCATTAGACGTCCCATTGACGGATAGGCTTACTTCAAGTAAGCCATCTTCTAGTCGTAGGCAACTGAAACCATCACAAACACAACAAATCCCGAAACATGTTCTTGAATATTTGCATTTATTGCAACAAAATCCGCAACTTCAACAGAGCCCAAGTATTTTCATCCAACCTACTACTCCTTTAGAAACAACAGTTAAAATTGAAATTGAAAATTTCGAAACATTGGAAGAGGACGATCAAAATTTAAAGAGTGTTATAGATAGGAGGTGGAAGTTTTTAGATGCTTACAGAGGGTAACTATGGCATTTTGCGATTTCTAACTTCATCTCTCAATAATTTTACAACATTTAATTATTGATTTTAATAAAATTTTTATAAACTTCAGTCTAATACCATAAAATTTCATTTAATAATAAACTTTAACTAACAGTTGAATTGTTGATTGACGATAAAGACATTACGAACACGTTTAAAAACATAAATTTCTGATTTAACCAAAACCATTTCCAACAGGTACTGCCTAACGATGTTGATCTTTCAAATGTATGGTTCAGGTGATTACCCCATGTTCCAGCACAGCACTTGGACTGGTTTCAGATACGGAGATACGTTTGGATTAAGGTCAGTATTGGGCAGATGTTTTTTCTTTCTGTTTTGATTTGAATTAATTTTTCACAAGTTATTAATGTTTTATGTTCACAATTTTAAATAATAAAAAAGAATTTATTATCTACGTTCACAATTTAATTTAATATTTAAATATTGAAAAACGTGTTCGTAACTCTCAAAATTCATAACGTTTAATTATTTGTAGCTATATAATCTCTATATATAATCTTTAATCGCTATGTTAACATTTCTCAGCTTATCATTCATCCTTGGTGTGTCACTAACACTGGCTTATAAGGATATCTTCAAATCTGAGACTACGAGACTAGCTGGAGTCGTGTGTGGCATATTTGTACGCTGGTTGAAGTTGTTCACATTAGGAATGTTCGTCAACTCTCTTCAAGGTTGTTTTTATTGCTGGTATGGCTGGTATCAGAAGTATTTTTTATGTTATTGTTTAAAAGCGTTGTTGGTTGCGGCTGATGTTTTCCATTGTCGTTTTCAATTTCAATAAGAATTGAATATTGTAAAATATGTTGATAGCAAAGAAATCGATTCTAAATGGTCTTGTGCGTGTGGTTTAATTAGTTTAATAATAATAATTATTATATAAATATTAATAATTTGTTAATAATAATATTAATAGTTTGTTATTTTGTCAACAGATGAAGACAAAACCACTTTAAGTAAGACAGGCTTATTGCAAAAATTTGGAACGATCTACCTTACCAACGCTCTCTTACATGCACCTCTAGCCAGGAAATTTGTCTACGTTAGGTTTTAAAATATTTCATTTGTGGTAGTAACCGATTTGGATGACTTGTTTGTACTAAACAGTGGTCGTAGGTTAGAATAACAAGTGTTAGTAAAGTAGTTGTAGTATTGTATTATTAAAAAGTATCAGTGAAGTTTTGGTTGTATCATTTTTGATTGTTATGACAAAACATCAGCGGCCAAGAGGTAAGTACTGCGACATATTTCTGTTCTGGACAGAGTGGCTGGTCATCGCCATCATCGTCGCCACACCAACTGTCATCATTTACTCTCTGTCTGTACCTGGATGTCCAATGTAACTTTTTGTTGTGATGATGAAGATGATGCTGAAGATGATAGAGATGGTGTGATGGTGGAAAAATTATGACGATGGCGCTGTCCAAATTTGTCAAAGTTACTCTAGATGTTAAAATTTATTACAATGGTGTATAAAAATTATATTAACATTTGTAAATTAAAACCAAAATCATGATTTATAATCTTGCTTGCAATTTCCTTATCCAGGAATTTTATTTTATTTTGAAATTTCACTGTCACGTAACAAAAAAAAACGAGATTGTCGTGTTTAGAAGCGCCTGGCTCGGCGTCGTAGTGTTTGGGTACAGATTTAAAGAAACTCTAACCTCTCACAATGCGTGATCCACATGTGTCTTAACACACCGTATCTCGTAACTAGCTTTAAGAATTTAATAGAACAAAGCAACCATAACGATGTCATATTTGTTATTTTCTGTTAATGAGTTGTGTTAATTTTAAGAGGTTACACAGGAGTAGGTGGGCTATCAGACAATGGTGAACGTTACAACTGCACTGGAGGCATTTTTGCATACGTGGATGAGCTCGTTTTGGGTTATTGATGTCGTGAATTTTCTTCATAATAAATTCTGAAAAGTTAATAATAGTTGTGGTTTTTGGCTTTTGGGAATAAAATTTGTATTTTTTTGCCACATATTTTAATGTTTTGTTGTTACAGTATTAACTGTATTTATGCACCTGCAAACATTTGAAAGTTTTGTTATAGTTTGTCACTTATAGTTTGCTGCTGTTATGACTCACTCGTAGTTCAAAATGCACACCAGAACAAAGTAATCACATAAATAACTCTTTTAAAATTGATATAAAACAAACTAACATATGACATTAATAACTCTTTTAAAATTGATATAAAACAAACTAACATAAACAATTCACCAGGAAAAAAGCACGTAACGAAAGTTCGCGGCGAGTATGCGAAGGTTTACCTCCCAAATGATGACATCGCGTTCGATCACAATGGCATTCTTGGTACATTTTACTCATCACTGGTGACTTTCGCAGGTCTACAGGTTGTCATTAATACGTTTTATTTGTTGATTCATTTCCGTTTAATTAAATTTTATCGTTAATTTATCGTCACCATTTTCATCATCTTCACTTCATCACCATCTTCATCGTCGTCATCATCGTCGTTGTCGTCGTCTTCATCAGTTTGGAAAAATGTTGCTCATGCACGAGACTCACAAGGCCAGGATTGTCAGATGGATGGTTTGGAGCCTTGCGTTTGTTGGTACTGATGATGATAATGGTGATGATAATGATGATATGATAATGTTTTGTCGTTATCCGCTCTATCACCACAGCTGTCAAGTAAAAATCTAACCATAACAACATCATGACGATAGCATCACATCATCATAGTCGACTTTAACTTCTCTGCGCCATCATCCTTTCCATCACAATTTTCTTTATAATTTTCATCATCATTTGCTCATTTTCCCCATCCAGCTCATAGCAAGCGTACTTTTGTGCAATGGTGATGCTCTGAGTGGCTTCATTCCTATCAGTAAGGAGCTCTGGTTCGTTTTGACCTTTCGTTCACTCATTCCTTCACTTATTTACTCATTTAGTCATTCGATCAATCATTCATTTAATTATTTGTAGATAGATGAATGGATAGATGCATAGATTGATATATAAATTAGGGATGCACTGAAGTTCGGCTCCAGCTCCGGCCAATATCCGGCTTTTTTTTTAAATCCGGCCCCGGCCGGATTTGGTGGCCGGATTTAGGGCCGGATTTAAGCGTCTATCGACATTTAAAAATGTTATAAATAGAAAAAAAAATTTCATTGAATTCAATTAATTTTATGTCAATAAGTTAAAAGCTAAGCATATATGACACATAATAACAACATCACAAATTGTGAAATGAGCTGGACAATTTTCTTTGTGCTATAACATGGGTTATGCATAAATTATAAGCTGATCTTTGTGTAAAAGAACTTGTGCACGTGTTTATACTATTACTATATAGTTGTATATGACGGATCATAAAGCTACATAATATATATATATATATATATATATATATATATATCCATACATACATACATAATCGCATTATTGAAGAACATGGTATGTTAAAGGTTAGGCTAGGCATACATGACACATAATAACAACATCACTAATTGTGAGGTGAGTTGGACAATTTTCTTTGTGCTATAACATGGATTATGCATACATTATAAGCTGATCTTTGTAAAATAACTTGTGCACGTGCATACATGACACATAATATTAACATCACTAATTGTGAGATGAGCTGGACAATTTTCTTTATGCTATAACATGGGTTATGCATAAATTAAGCTGATCTTTGTGTACAGAATTTGGCGTATCACACAGCTTATTCATATATTTGAATTAATTAACTATTTGCTTGGTGTTATTTTTTGATGTTCAATATGTAGATAACCGTAAATGTGAGTATTTTTTCTAACGCATGTAAAATGGTAACTAAAATCCAACCACGGCTCCGGCCCCGGCCGGTTTTTGAATTTTAAATCCGGCCAAGTCCGGCCCCGGCCGGATTTGAAAAACCTGAATCCGGTGCATCCCTAATATAAATTGATGGATAGATGGATGGATGAATTGAAAAATTTTCGAAAAAATGTCTACAGTTCTCTAACATTCTGCCTGCTGACGTGCTGTCTCAATTTCTTCATCCTCGGCCTGGCCTATCTAACCATTGACGTGGCCAGGCTCTGGAATGGCAGACCCTTCATATACCCCGGTAAGAATGTATAAGAATGTAATAAGAACTTTTAAAAATATATTTGCTAAAATTTTAACTTGAAAACATGTACACAAAAACTGACTCCTTAGTTTAAACATGTTTACAAAATTTCATTTAAGGTTCTACTCAAGCATTTTTTCAAACACCATTACATGTATTAAAGTGTTATAACACATTATACGTTTTGAAAGTACGCATTTGCAACGTACAAAAACGTACACACACACGCACGCACACACACGCACGCACACTCACGCACACAGGATTGAATGTCATCTTCATATACGTGTGCGCATCTTGTTTCAAGATGGAATTCCCGATATCCTGGCTGCTAGCCTCACACGATGATGAAGAACAATGGAAGTTGCTGATTCTAAACTGTTGGTCGACGTCTTTCTGGGTCGTCGTATCCTACGCCATGTTTACCGCCGGGGTCATCGTTAATGTTTGAAGGGTGATGGCGGATATGATGGCCATGATATTTTGGAAAACAATGATGATATTGTGATAACGATGGTGATATCTGTGATGACAATGATGATGATGTGATAACGATGATTACGTATTATGCTAAGTTTATTACTAATTTAATAATTGAATGTTATTTGAGAGCATTTTTTTCAGTGCAAGAAAATGTTTTCATTGATAATTTTGATCAATATATACATAAAATATGTACATAACAGATGATGGATACGATAATTGAAGTTTAAAAACAATAATAAAACATAACACAACATTTACAAAGTTACTGATTATGTAACACGTTAATGTATTATTATTATTATGTGATCATTTTTTGAACTTGGAATTGTTTTCAGTAAAAGAACGTTAGCCTGTGTGAGCAAGAATGTTTGAATATTCATCTATTTCAGTATATACTGCACTGCATGTATGCAATGCTGCATGTTATATTCGATTGAAATCTCTCATTTCGTAACAGAGTTAAGTTTAAAAATTGCGAGTTAAAATTTATTTTCAAAAATGTCGTTTTGTTAAACAATTTTTGCTAAATGTTTTTTTTAAATACAGCAAATAAACATAACAGAAATGACTGATTTACAAACAATGTTCACAATATTCCTTACTGGCTTCTTCATTCTTCTCTATCTCCTCAACCGACCAAAGAAATTTGGTAGAAATGGACTACCATACCCACCATGTCTGCCCTCTTTACCCATTCTGGGGTCTGCCCTCTTCCTGCCAAAGTTTCAGAAGATGGCAATGTTTTTTACTGATAACTTTGAAAAGTATGGACCGGTCGTCGGCTTCTACATGGGCTCAGAGTTTGTCAACATGCCTTTTATATTTATTTGTTATATAGGCCATGTGTGTGTGTTTGTGTATGTGCGTGTGAATATGTGCGTGTATTTACTTATATGATTATATTGATTTTATTGCACGTCTCTATACAAGTATACGTGCGTTTCTTGGCGAATGAATGTGTGTATGCAATGTATACTTGCATTCATTCACTTGTGTTTCAATTACTTTTTTAGGTAGTCAAATTTGAAATTTACTTTTTAATTTACTTTTAAAATTTACTTTTTCCTAGGGAACACTTTTGAGTCAATACAAACGCTAGCGACGATTTTGTATAAAAATAAATACTTCAAAGATTTCAAATGCAATGACTAAAAATTGACATGAATGAATGTGCAGAAATGACGAATGTCAATGTCAGACAATATTGTTTGGATAAAATTTTACACATTCTTTAATGAAATTTATTTTTTGGAATAATACAGGTTCGGGTTAATACTGAACACCAGGGAAGCCATGCATGAAGCTTTCATAAAGACTGAATTTTCAACCAGACCATTTATGGCTTTCGATAAATTGTTAAATCCAGAAAGGAAAGGTTTACTTTTTAAAAAATTAATTAGGTAAAGTTCTGTGATTTTTAAAAACAAAACAAAAACAAGTTTCGAAACAATATTTAACGGTCTGGATGGTTTTATATATTCATTCAAAATATTAAACTTCCTTACATCCACTTCCTCAGGACTTTTTTCGCATCCATACACGAAAGAGTTCAAAAGTTACCACAGACTGGCGACCAACATAATGAGAGAATTTGGGTATGGAAGTCGAATTATGGAAAGCCGGATACAGTTAGAGCTTGAAAAGTTGATCGAAAACTTCAAAAAGTTTGAAGGTAAGGAGTTCAACCCATCTGACCTGACGACAATTTGTTCAATGAATATAATGTGCAGCATATTGTTCGGTGAACGTTACGATGAAAGCGATCCAGACTTGTCAGAATTAATTGCCCTGGTTCACAACACCTTCAGAAACTTTAGAATCGCCTTCTTTTTGCAAGTTCTCAAATTTCTGATCCACGTTCCGTATTTTAAATCTTTCGTCCAAAATTCCATGCAGATGAGAACTAGGTGAGTTGGTTAACTGTGACATTTTAATTTAGTTTTATTTTATTAAAACTATATTTTGTGTAAGAATTTTGGAGATAGTGGAAGAAAAAGCAAAAACATGCACTGATCCTCTCTACCGCCAAGAGAAGCCAAACTTCATAGATAGGTATATTGAGATGGAAGGTCCTGTTAACGATAGACCGCAGCTGTTACATTTGATACACGATCTTCTACTGGCCGGTACGGAAACGACAGGTGAGTCAGTCCAGTTTGAGTTTGAATTTGCACTGAAACCTGGCTGGAATGTATCAAAAATCAATTTTAAACAATTTCATCAACGTTTTACGTTCCACTCACTATTGCTCAATATGCTTATAAATACCTCTGTTCATTTAAATGTGTGTATGAGTGAGTATTTAAATAGTTTTTGTATTAAATCTTGCATTATGTCGACTAATTATTTTGTTCAAATGAACCCTGATCCACACACAATACAGCAAGCATGTTACAATGGGCTCTCATCATCATGGCGAACAACATATCCATTCAAGAGAAGATGAGAGATGAACTGAGAAGAGTCGTCCCACACGACAGATTGCCATCACTGAACGACAAACCAAATCTCATCTATTTTGAAGCTTCTGTCCTAGAACTGATACGTTTCAAAAGTGCCGCTCCTACTTCAGTTCCACACACCACGATTAGTGATTGCGAGATATCTGGCTACTTCATACCTGCCGATACATTTGTTAGTATATCTTTTAAACTTTAATGAAAACTTGAAAAAAATTGTTGTTGCCAATAAAAGGTTCTTGGCAATATATACTGCGCTCATTTCAACCCAAAAATATGGGAAGAGCCAGATGTATTCAGACCAGAACGTTTCATAAAAGATGGTCAGATTATAAACAAGGATCTCCTTGTACCATTTTCAATAGGTGCGATAAGTTTGATTAGGTTTTTTAATTATATTTAAATTGCAATTGTATCGTAAATAATGTAATTATTAATAATCATTGTGAACGCTTCAACATAATATTTCGAAAAATATAGCTTGAAATATTTTCTATAGGCAAGCGTTCTTGTTTTGGAGAAATAATGGCGAAACAAGAAATCTTCCTTGCAGTCGCCAGTCTCGTTCAACATTTCAAAATTCTGCCACCAGCTGGTCGGGATGAAATAAAATTCGGGGATGTTTACGACGTTACATTGAAACCGACCCCATTCAATGTTCGTCTGATCAGCATAGATCGTTGATGCTAATAAATGTGATTGTTCTGCCCTAAAAAAACTTTTTCAGATAAAAATAAATTGACCTTTAAATTAATAAAATTAAATTAAATTGATAAACTAACAATGAACCGCTTAAAAGAAAGTTGTCTATTTTAAATTTCCACAGGCATTTTTATTTCAAATTTTATATATTTTTCCAAAACAACTTTAAAATGAAATGTAAAAATGTAACGTTGGTTTGAGACTTTTTTTTTACGATTTACTGTGTCATACACGTTACTAAAATATTTTATCAAAATCTGCTCTTGCAAAAAATAATTTATAATTTTATAGACTGACGAATATTCAATAAAATTCAAATGCACTCAGCTTCAATGACAGAAATATTTGTCTATCTTGATATCCATTTTCGTAACAATTTATTTTTCATATTGTAAAAAACTTTAATGCGTGAATAAAAACTTGTACCTAGTCATATCTTTGGTTCAGGTTTCTAAGGTTAAAGGTTAATTAAGGTTAAAGGTCTGTTACACTCTTCTTAGTTTCAGAGAAATTAACAGTACACAAACAGCTTATATAAATACGTGTTGATCGATGTATTACACACTACACAGAAACGTGTGACGAGATTTTTTAGTCATATTCAAGTTCGGTTAGGAAGGCCATCAGGGTGTCTTAAACATCTTTCATAAAAAACGAGATCTAATGAGACTCTTATTTTTCTAATTAATTTTTTTGTATGATTTGTCAAATAAAAAAATTTGAAACAATAATAATACCTTGATATTTAAGAAAGTCGACATTAATGTTTGGTCCAGTTCATGAATCAGTTGAGGTCGGCAGTCGTGTGTGGCGTTTTTGAAATCCCGATGAAAAATAACTCAACCTTCAATGTTTATCTGTTTCTTTTTATAAATTTATGTCAAAACACGACAATATTTTGGAAACTATGCAAAGTATTGAAATAAAAATTTACAAAAATTCTTAACATTCTTGCTAACACACGCATAAGCTGTGACATCCAATTTTTAACTATCTGTAAAATTTTTAGTTGAGGTAAAAATTCACGCAGACGTAAACACAAAAATAATGAAACCTTGAATTAATGACGTCGTTAACATTTGATTGAGAATTTTTTCAAGTTTGAAGAAACAAATATCTATTACAACAAATACACACAAAGACACACAAAAACACACATATACAAGCTTAATAAACTTTTTAAAATGACAATAAAACATATATTCGCCGGCATTCTTTCAACTGTGAACATGATTTAGAGTTACACAAAAAAGTGGAAATAAAGTTCTTAAAAAGTGTCCTTCATTAGTTTGGAAAACTCTAAACTATGTGCATGTGCATTATTTACTTTGGGATGTAATTTGAAAAAAAAACCTTTAAAAAGTTGAACAGTTGGGAACTGTAAAACGTTCAATGAACAAATTTTTAAGAAAAAAGGTGTAAAATTGTTAGAAAAGTGTAAAAATTTTATTTGTTAGCTTTCGACGTAGACATATGACCATTTATATAAGTATATATATGTAAATGTTATTATAAACAAAGCCGGTGGTGGTGCTATAAAAGTGATTCTGTTATACGGGAGATTTCAAACGTTAAAACAAACGAACCATTTTTTTATAGCTTTATTAACTAGTATGTGTATACATTAACAAAAAAATCAGTTTTTTTAAATCGCGGAGTTTGTTTTTTTGACTATTTAAAATTAGTTAAATGTTTTTTCCAGATAAACTAGCAACATGTACGATTTTACAATTACCTTTGTAATATTTTTCGGGGTCTTCCCTGTTATATACTACCTGTGGAACCGTCCAAAGAGATATGGAAAGAACGGCCTGCCCTATCCTCCATGTCTTTCCAGTGTTCCTATTCTTGGTTCAGCTCCCTTCTTACCAAAGTTTCAAAAATTGCCAAAATTTTTTACTGAAAACTTTGAAAAGTACGGTCCTGTTGTTGGCTTCTACATGGGAACTGAGTTAGTTTGGTTTTTGGGGTCAATTATTATTTGTAGAGGATCTATTTTTTCAAATTTAATTTATACCAATTCATTTACTTTTTATGTTTCAGTGTGTTTTTTAGTCAACTCCTAAATATTCAGATTCGGATTAGTTTTGAATAGTAGAGAGGCGATGCATGAAGCGTTCGTGAAAAAGTCAGCCGATTTTTCATCCAGACCTCTCACAGCTGACAACCAATTGCTCAACCCAGGACAAAAAGGTTGTTCATTTCAGCGTATTATCTTCAAATAATCGGTCTAAAATTTAATTTTTATTATTTTACTTGTTTCATAAACTTTCTTATATAATTGAAATTATTGTTTTTTGTCAAACCCACGTATCGGTTTAACTTTAATTTTTTTTATTCATAAAGGTATACTAATGCATCCATTCACCGATGAATTCAAGAAATACCACAAGCTGTCTCTCAACATCATGAGAGAATTTGGACTTGGAAGTCGAATCATGGAAAACAAGATTAAGTTTGAAATAGAGAATTTGATGGGGAAGTTCAAAATGTTTAAAGGTCGAGATTTTCAGCCGTCCAATTTGCTGACAAACTGTTCAATGAATGTCATTTGCGGCATTCTGTTCGGTGAAAGGTATGACGAGAACGCTCTAAATTTGCAAAAATTGATTGATCTGGTCCACGACACGTTCAAACATTTCAAAGTGTTTTTCTTGTTCAGAGTCTTCAGATTCTTACAATACGTACCGTACTTCAAAGCGTTTTTGTACGATTCCTTAGCCATTCGACACCAGTGAGATTATTATTTATTTTATATATATTATTACACTGTGTTGTTATTAACATAAATGTTTTACATTTAAAAAAATGTATTTTCAAAAAATTCAGGATAGCCGAAATGATTGAAGAAAAAATTGAAATCTGCACAGACCCTGTATATAGACAGGAGAAGCCAAACTTCATAGACAGATACATAGACATGGAGGGACCTGGTTACGATAAACCGCAGCTGCTGAACTTCATCCACGATCTCTTCATCGCTGGCACTGAAACCACAGGTTCATTTTAATTAAACTTTTTAGGCCATTTCATTTTCAGTTTTATTGTTACAAATGGCAACTTCTAACTTGTTTAAACGAAATTTTCAGCGTAAAAGTTAATTTTCTCATACTTGTCTACGCCAATTGTAGCGGGCATGTTCCAATGGTCACTGATCCTGCTGGCGAACAACGCTTCTGTGCAAGAGAAGATGAGAGATGAAATCTCACAAGTTGTACCCAACGACAGACTGCCTTCACTGTACGACAAGCCACATCTGACGTACGTTGAGGCCTTTATATTAGAACTCACACGCTTCAGAAGCGCTGCCCCAACGACGATACCTCACTCAACAACCAACGATTGCGAACTCTTTGGCTACTTCATTCCTGCCGATACTTTTGTAGGTAGCGTTTTTCAATTTGTAAAAACTTAACTATACTCTCAAAACAATTGTGAATTCATGAAACAACCAGGTGCTTGGTAATATATATTGCGCTCATTTCGATCGTAAAGTTTGGGGAGATCCTGATGTGTTCAGGCCAGATCGTTTCGTAGAAGATGGTCACATAATCAACAAAGATCTGCTCGTTCCTTTCTCTTTAGGTTGTAAAATGTTTGGACGTATAATTTGTTTTAAAAGTTTATGTCACGAAATTAATTTTTCAAACGTTACAAATGTTCCTTTTCTAGGTAAGCGTTCGTGTTTCGGAGAAATATTAGCGAGACAAGAAATGTTTCTGTTCGTCAGCAGTCTGGTTCAGAAGTTTAAAATCTTGCCGCCAGGAGATGAGAGAGAATTGATAGTTGATGAGATATACGACGTTACGTTGAAACCTGCTTCCTTCAACATTCGTTTGGTAGACGTGCAAGACATTTAAAGGCGTTCTGTCTCCTCCTACGTGCAATTTTTTTTATATTCTTGAACCTTGAAAAACGATTTACACGTATGATGCGATTTGATAGGCTGAACAATTTTTTGAGAGTTTTTTTTAAAAACTTTGTGAAATGAGAGCTGTGCAGGTCATATTTGACATTGAAATCTGATGTTTTACAGGCTAACGATAATGAATTATAACAAAAATTTATCAATTTCTACATCGCCATATTATCGAATATATTTAATCGACTTTTTAATATGCTGTTCATGTGTTCTTTCTTTTCACTGCCGACTTTTTGCAGATATTTTTGTCATTTGCGTTGTTTACACTTAAATAAAATAACTTACTCATTAAAAAAAATGTTGTACATGAAATTTAAAAAATGGCAAAGTTCAAGAAGCTGAAAATATTTTTGTACAAAGATGAAACATAACAGCGTGGCGTGGTGATGAGTTGACAAGGGCAACGTAGAAAGAACAATGTTTGATTTATGAATCTAGCAGAATGAGAAATTATCATAAATTAAAATTTGCTAGACTCATTATAAACTTTTCTCTGCTCACAGCATATAATGTTTTTAAACAAAAAAAAAAACAAACCATTTAAACACAGAATTAATCAAACACGATACAAAAAATAGAGAGCTTACGCAGTTTAATTGCAGACACATCATACGAAACTATTAATACAAGCTGTCAGGTCAACATCCAACAAAGACAAAGTTCAAATAAGCATTATCAGTAAATGTTTTGTGAAGGTTTGTTTACAAATTCTTAAAAATTTTGATAAAAAATATTAATTAGAAATAAAAATCTTTCTGCAGACTCAAAGTCTTGAAGCTTTTAAATTTTTAACTTTTATCTTATGGATGTGTTTATTCAAATTATTTGGTAAATTATTTAAAAAAAAACTAGCAGCGTTTAGTCAAAGTCGTAGAAAGGTGAATGTATTGATAAAGGACGAAATGTCGTTTTTCAAACTTTCTCACTGTTTTTCTTTTCTCTCTCTCTCTTTTTCTTTCTTTCTCTCTCTTTCTACTTCTCTTTTTTTTTCTCTCTCCCGTTTTCTTACCATACACAGATTTTTGTTTATAATTGTTTGTTTAGTCATTCAAAACGACGTTCGTTTGTTCGTTCACTCGTTCTTTTAATTCTTATTCATTTCATTACATAATTCGTAAAAGAGAAAACAACACTTTTTATATTTCACGAGTAAGTAGATAAAAATAAAACTAACACGTGTTTATTTTACATTTTTTTCAAAATTAAATCATTAATTAAAAGTTGAATTAACAAAGAAAAAGAACGGAATTTTACAATTTAGTTAATCTCTTTGATACGATTTTTTTAATTTTTCAACAAAATCAGACAAATTTTTTTAAGATTTCTTTGAAATTTCATTTTAGTTGAAAATATTTTAAACAACATTTTCTTATAAGCATTTGAATTTTAAAATTTTGCAATTTTCGACAAACATTTTAAAATAAATTCCATAAATAATTATTGAAATTTTGTACAAAACAAAGAAAAACTATAGCAACAATATTCATTTGAAATGAAACACATCGAAAATCTGGGTTTAATTTATTTGTGTTTTTAGATATTTTCTTAAAATAAGTAATTTTTAAAAGAGTTAATTTACTATTATCATTGTAGATATTAACCTCTGTTAACCAAATTATTGAGTTTAGTTAGTTTATCATTATAGAGTTTTAGTATAATAGCAATTATTGTTTGATCTTAGTAGTGTAGGTGAACATAAAACTTAAAAATAATACCGTCATTAATAATTTTTTAAAAATTATTTTTATTAATCATGGAGTTAGAGAAGTATAAGCCCTTTAAGTAGCTACTGTTTAAAAACATTACTGAAATTAGCGTTACTAGTATTGCTACTAGCTCCAATGTTAGTAACGCAAGATTTGTTTGAAGCTAGAATGGACTTCGAACTGACGGTAACTTGTTCGGTGCAAGCCACGCTGTTGTCATTTAGAAGAACGCTGTTGCTGCTATTAGAGAACATTAAACCGCTGATGTTGTTGTTTATAGTGTTTGCATTGTTTAGAAAGTTTGTATTGTTTGGAATGTTTGTATTGTTTGTATCATTTAGATTGCTACTACTGTTGTTCATTTTGTTGTTCATTTTGAAGCTACCGCTGTTGTTCAAGGTATTTGGAGGTGGACAAAATAAAGATATCGTCGATAGTTTTGTTGTTGAAACCGGTGATAATAAGGTTTTGTTGTTGTTGGTTGTGATGTTATTAATGTCGTTGTTGTTGTAATTGTTGTTGTTGTTGTTGTTTGTACTTCCTAATAAGGTGTTCCGACCTAATGTGCCGCAAGGATTACTGATGTAGTTGTTGCACTTGTACGATTGACTTACGCTGCCTTTTTTTGGCAACAATGTGGAGGTTTGTTGAATATTCTGGTGGAGAGTGTTGGCAACGTTTGGACTCAAGTTAATGTCATTAATGCTTTCGCTCTGTTGATAGTTAAAAAATTGTTGTTGTTGATGGTGGAGTTGAAATATTTGTTGTTGCTGCTGCTGTTGCTGCAGTAGTTGTTGACGCTGTGGTTGTTGACGCTGTGGTTGTTGTTGTTGCTGCTGCTGATGTGGCAAATGTGGGTTTTGTGGCCAACTTTGTTGCTGCAGTGTTTGAAAATTTTGATGTTGATTCTGGGAATGTTGATGCGGCTGTTGTAAGCATTGCATATTTTGGTTTTCGTTGATATTTTTGATGTTGGAGTTTAGATTTCCAAGTGTTGGGATGTTTGTTGATGTATCGATAACAAACGCGCAACAACCTTTCCGCTGCTTGTTGTGCAGTGTTGACGAGGTTGTCGTGCTGTCGATAACGTTGCAACACTTTTTGCACTGGGGCATTGTTGAATTCGTAGTTAAAATACTCTTCATCAAGTTTGGACTTACGACGGGAGAAAAGGAACAATTTGAGATGGCGTTACTGTTGACATTTTTCGTCGACGTCACTGAAAATGTTGTGATTGGCGTCGGAACGAATGTAGAAATTGTAGATGTTGGCGTTGAAATTGATGCAGCCGTGGTAGTTGCTGCTGCTGCTGCTGCTGAGGATGTTGTCGCTAAAGCCTGTTTTTTTTTCTTTTTCCGGTGTGTTGATTTATCGCGAAGGTGTTTTTTGAGCAGGAAGACGATTTTGATGGTGTGAACGGCGATAAGATAAGAGAATAATGCAGCCACCATTATGATAATTGTTGATGTTTGCGTCTCATGTTTCTTGACTCGCCTCTCTATCTCTACATTGGCTAGTTTTTCTGTCAGCAATCAAATAACTGTTCTTATAAAAGTACTAAGCTACTGAAAAATTAGATCTAATAGTCTACTATAACATTGTTTCACCATAACAGTTAACATAAATAATAATAATACATTCTTTAAAAAAATGTTACATTTTAACAAAACTGCAGTTTAAACACCACCATTGTAGAAAGCATGCACCAGAATTCAATAAAGCTAACTATCATCAGTCAATGGAAGCAAAAACTTCAAATGCATTCTTATTACTATTCCAATTCGAACTGCGATAAAATTTGTTTTTGCTACATTGAAAAGTGTAACTATAGAGCTTTAAATGAGAGTTATAGCACTTTTAGAAGGATATTGAATAAATTTTATAAATGAAAAAAAAATGATTCACCTCTCATCATCCTCTCACCTATTTTCTCTATCTCTCCGGCAATCACACTCTCCAGTTCCGTTATCCTCGTCTCGTTCTTCTGGGCATCTTCACATAAGGACGGATCAACCCTACCTGCCACGTAATCAACAGCCGACAGGATTTCTAGACGGCATTCGTACAAGTTTGGGAAGAAACTGCAAAGAAATTTTTTATTTGTAATTTTTTTCTACGTTTGTGTTGTTAAGTTGTAATGATAATTTAAAAATTAAATATTATCATGAGTTGTGACATGAGAATTTGTATGTATAACTAATTATGTTAATTTTTTGTAACATTTAAAACTGTTTTCCATAAAATCTTCGATTGCCCTTGTCTTAAAACATATTGAAATTATAAAAAATTAACATATGATAACAGATCAAAATTTTCAAACTTTGACATGGTTATTTAAACGCTGTTAAATTAAACGGTTTTTGTTGGAAAATTTGAACAATTTCAATGAAAATATACACCTGTAGTGCGGCTTGACTTTCCACCTCCAACCATAATCATCATCGCTGTGCACATTTTCGTCGATCTCCTCCTTAAAAGCCAACTTGAATTGATGATCGTCCAGTCGAAATTTTTTGCGATCACCCGAATTCCACGCCTCGTTATCAACTTCGTCGTCATTGATGACGTCATCTTCGTTGGTTGCGTATGATTTTATTTGTTTATTCAAGTTCTTCCCACCATCATCATCAGTGTCGGCTGTACTGAGAATCTTCTGCACCTTCATGACGTCACTCACTCCGTCGTTGAACTTGCCGCCGCGCGCCCTGCTAGTTTCAACGTTTCCATTCTCCTCAGCAAAATTTTTAGGAGTGTTTCTCGTCGTTTTTTTGACGTCATCTCTTTCGTTCCGGAATGCTGGATAGGAGAGTCGGTACGAACGGAACACCGCCTCACCAGCGAATGAGTAGTTGGCAAACTTCAAACTCTCAACTCTCGTGAAACAGATGACAGAGTTGAAAACATTACATAAGGCCTGCTCAGCTCCGAGGTAGTACACGCTGTTCATCAAGTGACTGTATGCTGTCAACCAGACTGGGACGTTCTGAAAGTTAGGATCCATGTATTTGCCACTGAATGAATCGATGATTGTCGTTGGTCTCTTTTTGTTTAGACTCATTTGGTTTCCGTTTTTGTTGCAGTTGAGATTGACGTTGTTGTTGTTGCTGGTTGCGTCGTCGCACCACAAATGGTCGAAAGGCAGAGCAGACAGCCAGGTCATGATGGCATTGATGGTTTCAGTGTAAAACTCAAACTCGTCCCAGTATCGATTCTCCCTGGAGACCTTGGTTCTGTGGTTGGCCAGCACGGCGTGGAACAGACGGGGAGATTTAAATGTTGAACCGTGATTAGCTAACATCTGACCCGTTGGCCAATAAGATTGAAGGGTTATTATAGCGACATCTGTCGATTGGTGGGCTCTGTCTAGGTCGGCCTTTAAAGTTGTTTGACCGTGCAACGTGCGCGATGCCACGTAACTCATGGTTGCATCTGTGTGGACAATTTTTATTATCTCTTTATCGCCAGTGTTATGGCCCATGCAATTGAATGTATTCCATTACAATTCTTATAAATTATGCAAACTTGAGGTTATGAATTTTCAATTATACGCACATATACCATCGAAACGAAGCTGGAATTTAATTAAATTTTTATCAAATTTTATTCATTGAATGTTGCATCACATAAAAATGTTTTCATCTGCAGAAATAAAAATACAATATTGAAAAGCTTAAAAGACTGTAAATAGTCTTGAAAGTATTTTTATTAGGAAATTGGTTGAGATGTTTTATGAACTGTGGGTCAGCGGTACAAAGGGAATTTTCTAAATTGTCGCTACAGATAAAATTGTGAATAACGCTGCAATGTTGTTTGTTTCTAAAATTTGCTTTTAGTAGGAGATTTTATAATTTTTGTTAAAAAAAGTTTAGAGATTCACATATTTGCAACAGTGGTTATATTTGATGTAGCACGTAAATATAAATTCTTAAAAACTCACGCTTCTCTTTTGTATAATTATTTTTAAAATTCAATTTCACAAACAAATCAACCTAAATAAAAAGAGCTTATCACTGAAGTTAAGAATGATTGAAATTGATATAAACAACAACATTATAATAAATTAAGTCATCATCGTATCAACGGAATTGTTTTCCCTAAACAAACAACAACACCAACAATGTTAACAAACATAATTCCTGAAAGAATTTGCCCTACCGACAACCAACCAATCACAATATGCGAAACAATATTATTATTATCAATAACATTATAACATTGGTCGCACAGTTTATGTACACGTACAGTATCGCTATTGCAATTTTAAACTTCGATATATTATATTCATGTCTTGGTGCGGATATAAAAGTATGAGCAAATTTGTGGGATTGTGATTGAAAGTCGGAATTGGATGGGTAGATGGATGGATGGATAAACTTTTGAAGTGAATGAATGAATGTAGATGGATTGAGGCATGAATGTATAGATAGATAGATAAACTTAGTGGTTGGATGAAAATGGATGTATGATGCTGAATCGAATGTGTTTTATATGATGTAAAGTTTTATTTTTGATTTTACAAGGTTTCATTCTTTAAAAATAATTATTTGATTTTATGAAATATTTTAAATGTTTTTCGGGATAAAAGTGAGAAACATAAAATCATCTTTTTCAAAAATAATAATTTTTGCCACATGATAAAAAACGCATGCCTCTACTGAGAAACTGGAAAAAAAACTAAAAACGTGATTCGAAAGCAGCGAAGTTGAAAATTTTTGAAAAAAATTTTAAAATCGCAGAAAAAGTTTCAATCTATATATAGAATATATCTCAAACATAGATGATTGCTAGATCGTACGCTAAATGAACGTTTCAATGAACAACTTGGTCAAATTTGTTCAGTATTATCCAATCATTGATTCATTCAAATGTTTATGAAAACCATGTTAAATTCTATCTAGGTAGTTATGAAATCAAATTTCAAAAGTTTTGTAAACATAACGCAAATGTTTTTCCAGATATAATTTATTACAATAATTGTATGATGAAACCTGATAAAAATTTGTATGAGAAATGTCAAAAATATGGAATATGATGTTGGAAGGATATAAGAGAAGAAGGATTGTGGTTTTAATAGAATGGCTGGAGAACGTGCGCTGAAATGATATATAGATGCCTAGGTTGTAAATTTTACCAAATGTGTTTTTTTCCTCCATATGAAGTTTTTCTTCAAAATTTTTTTCACAGAGTTAATATTTTGTAATTTATCTTGTAATAAGAACTTTTTCAACATTAAGTCGCATTAATGTATGTCTGTGTTATTACATTGTAATTTACAATATTGAAAAAAGTTATAAGTAGTTCACATTTCAAAATTTTTGACAAACTTGCAGACACCGGTGTAATTAAGTTTTTTATATAACTAGCAGTATTTTAAACTGACATCTTTATGCCATTACAAGGGATATGTGCTTCAACGAAGAGTGCAAATTTAAAATTTTTATACAAATGTTTGTATTTGTAAATATTTGTACGTAGGCCTATATGTTTGTGTGTGTATGTGTGTGTGTGTATGTATGTCTGTGTGTGCGTGCGTATGTGTAAAATGTAGCACAGTGTATCGATTGATTCATAACGCGAATATGCATGGCAACATACATACGCATGAATGAGCGATGTACGAACGAGTCTATCAATTTTTCGTTATTGTGTCGCGGAAATGAACTTGTAAGCTGAATGTCAGTTTTCATTAAATTTCCAGCGTGGAAGATGAAATCATGTTGAGAGGGAGAGTGAAATATGAGATGTTTCAGGAAATAAATGAAAATAGAAAAATCAAAAAATAAAGAAATAAAAAGATGCTTAGTATGGATAAGCAAAAGCCAATAATATATGAACGATGTAGAATTCTTCTTCTTTCTCGTGCCTTATCCTTTCAGGATATTGGCGACCACCGACCTCCACAAAACCCTATCCTTATCACTTTGTAGTGGTTGAAATGTGGTGATATTCAACAAGTGACACAAGGACTTCACGAATGTTGTTCGTTGTTCACCGCGATCTTTTTTCCCTGCAAACTGTCCACCTCAAAAACATCTCCAGGCGATATATGTGGCTGTACTGGTTATATGAGATGCACCTCTCTTGAAATTTGTTTAACAAGTTTCTCTTAATAATTCGCTGCAATGATAACCGGTAAAATGGTTTTCTTTCGTTCCCATCTGTTGTTTAAAAATTGTTTAAGAATGGTGAAAGATTTTTATAAAATATGATATCATTTATGAAGAACCTAATTTTTTTCTATTAAAAATTTATTAAATTAATGAAATTCACCTGTAAGAACTTTTGGTAGTATGTGATTTTTATTTTTATTTACATTTAGAAACATTTCAAACGCGTTTGTTTCATATAGAATAACGAGTTTCCAGTAACATCATGGTTTTGTCAACATGGTTTTTTTAAAATAACAAAACTTTTAAGTGTCGCTATCAATGTGAAACTACAAAACTTGTAAAACAACAGATGAAATATTTTTAAATTAAGATTGCTCTCAGCAGGTTGTTTTAAATCTGACAGGGCATTTACATTCTGAACTGACACTCTCACACATATAACATACACACGCATTCATAAACACACACATACAGGCACATGAACAAACACATCCACACATACAAATAAGCATACACATATACCTAAACATTATCCAGTTGTTTGAATACAATGATCCAAACATAAAGACATTCATACAAACCAAACAAATAAAATTAACTCCAATAATCTTCACGTGGGCATAAAGCAAACAAAACAACTTTTGACAAAGTACCACAAAGTTGTCATCTAGTCATCCATTCATCTATCTACACATTCATTTATTCATTCATTCATCCACATTTTTTTCTTCTTTCATAGCTTCTTCCACATAAACACGCTCATGCACCGCACTACACCACACGACTACACGCATGGGAACATGGGAGTTGAAAGCTTAGAAAGCGGTGCAGATAAATTTGTATTCTCTTTAATGTACTTCCAGCATTTTTGTCGAACAAAACTTTTTTATTTGCAGTTTATTTTCAAGAGTATAAAGGTTACGCACAAATGGTCACACGCGTTCGGCTGCTTATAACCAAAACTATCTAACACTTATATGAAGGGATTTTTCAAAATAAATAATTTGAGATTGGTTAATTCACTTAAATAGATAGTTGCAAGTGATGTACAAAACTGATGAATGAGTATAAGGAAAGATAAATAATTGTAATGAAAACAAAATTTGTTTGCTCTACACCTTCTACGCTCGTTTGCGAATCAATATTTATCATTGAATTAAAACCTTCCGCTATCGCTTTGAATTACACTCCTAACAACAGCCTAGGTCGCCTTTTTTTAGTATAGTATATCTACATTGTACTGTAGCGTCGTATGTGTTTGTAACACGAAACAAATACACACATCCGCATATACATTCACACACTCACACACACATACATTCACACACTCACACACACACATACATTCACACACTCACACACACATACATTCACACACTCACACACACATACATTCACACATACAAACACGCACGCACTTACATTATGTGTCTTTTTTTATTCTCACATAACGAGTGTACATCTTTTGATCAGAGTATTTTTCAATACTATGTTAAAGATATATTTCAAAAAAATATGATGTGGGTTTCGCTCAATCATTTTTCAATACTATGTTAAAGATATATTTCAAAAAAATATGATGTGGGTATCGCTCAATCATTTTTAAAACAAAAAACATTTTCCAAACTATAAATCCCTTTTCATTTTTTGTTTATAAAGTTGACAAAACCATAAAAAAATAAGATTTATTGATTTTTATTTCATCGAAAATTTGATTCGCATGGATTTCTGTCAACAGTGCGTATAATAGCGACGACGTTCTTCCCTATTTACCGAGTGTACTGTCAATCACACAAGATTGTGCTGTCATATTGGCTGTTAGTATCTGATCTGCCGCATCTTACACGTTTCATTGGTTTAGTTTAAATACAAAATTTAAATAAAATGAAACTGCTGTGAACAACTATGTGACACGCTGAATAAAACTCAGTTCTAATAAATTTTTATTTTTAAAGCACGTTTCCACGCTGATATACTTGTGCTTTTTTGACTTTATCTGAGAAAAAATTAAAATCAATATGTTTGAAACTTTTTAGCAGACTCGATATAAACTGAATCATTCAGTTTTTTGATACTTCCACAAGCACCTATTACCTCATTCAGAACGCACATATTACAGCATTTCACGATGTTTGCACCACAACGAGCAAAAATATTTTTTGTTCTTTTGTATAACATGACGATAATTTGTCGAGTTTGATTCTAATTTTTATAGAAACGTAAAAATTTCTCAAAAAAAACAAAAAAACAGCAAAAATGCAAACGATGAATTGATCGGAGACGAAGAGAGTGAAGATCTCCTGAGAAGGAGTTTATATCCAAGTAAAAAGTAGAACAATCGACCGTAAAATGTACGACTCAGTCACCCTGTCATCTCATTCCGTCATCATCATCATCAATGATTTCGTCATCGTCGTCGTCATCGTCATCGTCATTATTATTAATACTATTTTTATTGCTATCATTTTTATCATCAATGATTCTTTTGTTTTCATAAAAAAAAATATAAACAAACCACAAACCGTGACAAACAAACAAACAACTAAATACAACCCGATAAACCACGAACCAGCAACAATAACACAGCCAGGGGAACGAAAAAACCCAGAGACAACTAGTCAAACACTCAAATAATGAATAAATGCCAGCGACAGAATACAATCCAACTCTGAAAACTATTATGAAGAAATTATTTGGATGCTCTTAAAATCTGAAAAATGATTTTCTGACAGTAAAACCGTCACTAACCACAATGGAACTATTAGCGCTGTAGTGTGGTCATCAACTTAACGACTTCTTTACTAAAAGTGAATGCATAAATGATATTTTTGGATTTCAAGTTTGTATTAAGACATGTCTTATCTGCTTAAAAAATATTTTTCTAAGAAATTTTTACAAATTATCAAAATTTAGATTTAACAACGTACATGTAAGAATATGTGGGATATATAATTGTAAAGGTAAATTATCTAATAGTTTCGATATAAAGAATAATTTAAATATTTGTGAAAATATCAAAATAAATTCCTCACTATCTATCTTAATTTGAGTGGAAGAAAAATACAAGCATTGTCCTCATCGATAACATTCCAACCATCACCAAACAATTAAAACAAATAAAAATAATTTAATTACTTTCCATTTTATACTGCATAATAAGTAAAAAAAATGATTTCAACATTATTATCGCCATCACTTTAACATCCCACGAAACCTTCATATCACCAGACCATCATCACTATCAATAATATCATCACGACGTCATCGTCATCATCACAACATCTTCATCATAGTCGTCATCATCATCATCACAACATCTTCATCGTCGTCATCATCAACATCAACAGTATCAACAACATCTTAGTATGAATGCAAAAGTAAATCGTCAGTTTTATTGATCTTCGGATGATAAGAGTGGCAATAAAGCAACCATCAAAAACAAACTGTCATGTATATACCCCATGTACTATGTTGTATAGACATGTAAACTTTGTATATATGTATATACATGAATACACGTATTTATGTTTCACTGTGTTTTTCTCATTCTCTCTCTCTCTCTCTCTCTCTCTCTCTCTCACTCTTTCTTTGCAAGTGTGTGTGTGATTGTGTGTGTGATTGTGTGTGTGTGTGGTGTGATTGTGTGTGTGTGTGTGTGTGTAACTAATCGCAAAGATAGATTAACTTTATACATCCTTACGTATAACTTTATAATCTCACTTATTATCTCAGTGAATTGAATTGATAGCTCGGCAAATCGCATCATATAATTTCACATTAAAGTTTATTAGTATTAATTAAGGAATCATTAACCTGGTTTCTTGAATATATTTTTATAATTTGGTCTTATGTTCGATAGCTGAACCGTTGAATTTGTTGTTTCGAGATTGACCTAGTGTCTGTTAGCTATATATTTATGTTAAGTCAGAGTGAAAGATTAAAGTAGAGTGATACGTTTTTATGGTTTTTAAATTCATATCAAAGTTTTCAAATTCAAATTTGTTAAATAAATTTTATATCAAGTTAAAAACATGACTAACAACTTAAAGAAAACAAATTTGTATTTTTTTTTGAAACATTGTTATTCATTGTCAGCAGCTATAAAACTCTGCGAAAATATTCACCTATATAAAAACCGAAAAAATAATTCCATTCAAGATGAAAAAAAGAGAACAACAGAAATGAACACCACCCCAAAAAACGATTTCTCAAAATTAGCCAGGAATGATCAAAGAATATTTATCAGCGCGCCACCTGTTGGCGGGTAATAAATCTGAGTAAGTGGCAGACGCTAAAAAAATAATTAACTCCAGCGTACGAGACTGATCAGGATATTTGCGGACTAGTCATTCCACAAGAAGCGTGAAACGCTGAACGTAACATTAATCACACGTACAAAACATTTCTTAAACACATAATCAAATGAAACACACATACACATATACAGTTATACATATATATATATATATATATATATATATATATATATATATATATATATACACACACACATGTGAATGTAATTACAGACCTCTAGAAATCCAATAAATATTTATGTAGAATTAGCATATGTGGAAGATTAATTAGAGGCAGAGCGTATGATGTCTGTAGATGATGTATGGCTAGGTGTTCAACGTTGATTGATTATAGCTGTTTGTAATGCTTTCTACCGCTGTTTCTGAACAGCTAATGATGATTGCGTATTATTTGGGAAGCTTATTCCTCAAACTGCAATATCCCCGGGTTTTATTTATTTATTTTTACAATTATGGATTGGTCTTTTTTAATTCTATAAAAATATGGAAAGAAACCAAATAAGTTGTGCTTTCCTAATGTGTCATCAAGTATTTCAAATTATATATTCTTAATTTTGTAGAGTTAATGTATGAAGTAATGAAATGCCATTTAGAAAATTTAAAAACAAACCCAGAAAAATCATCTCAAAGATTTAATTCATTATCTCAATCACCAGCACTTCGAACACAACTATCACCACACAACAACCAACACCACACAACAATCAACACCACACAACAATCAACACCACACAACAACTATCACCACACAACCATCACCCCACAACAATCAGCACCACAACAATCAGCACCACAACAACGTCCAGTGTGCGATCACTCTAGCGTAATGGTGGAAGAGTGCATTGGGGGCATTGTAGGGCTACTTGCTTGGTTGAAGATGGCGCCAGTCGATCGTGCGTGTCATAGAGCTTCGTTGCTCGTGCAGTTTCTGGCAATGACGTGTACATGCGTCTGCGTCGAAATGGCGCAAAATTGTAATGTTCATAATGAAAATGACTGACGCTGAATCGTTCGCGAATTGGCGCCAGCGTTCACCTTTTCCTATTAACATTACCACCGATATCGTTATCGTTATCACCATCATCACTGTCACTATCATCCTCATCTTCCTCTTCATCACCATCATCATAATCATCATCGTAATCACCATCATCTCCCTCATCATCATCAGATCACCTCTTTCGAGATTCAGAGCCACCAAAAGCCTCCCTACCTCCATCATTTTCTTCTTCAGCTCTGTGTCTTTTGATATCCCGCGTTGGTCATCCTGTAGATAAATTTTTTTATCAATTTCAAATTTTAATTTTAACAAAAATAATATAAATAATAATAGCTATTATTATTATTATTATTATTATTATTATTATTATTATTATTATTATTAATGTTATTAGCAAGTCCATTTTTCTTTGTTTCCAAAATTTTAAAAAGTTGTCGTAATTTTTATTTCTTACTGTTGGTCGGAATCTACTTTAAAAATGCTTAACTTGAGTTGTTGTGTTAGTAATAATATTATTATCATTAGTATCAACTGTTTATTATCATCGATATATCATTCGTCAGACTTGATTTATCACCAATTCTATGATAATTTTGCCAACATGGTGAGTGAAAAATTTGTTGGAAACAATTGTAATGACAAGACAATACGGAGCCTAAAAATAAATTGAAAAATAAATACTATCTGCTAGAGTTTGAGTGTGAAAAGTGCGATTTTACAGCGTCTTCGTGTGGCCATAATTACAGCGTTCGAGTGAAAGTTGTATATGAAGCTAATTTGGAGGTAGGTTTTGACGTCACGAATGGGTTTGTACATTTTGTGTATGTTTGAGGGTAACGACCTGCAGATGTGTTTGTTTGTTTGTATATTTGTATTTTTGTTTGTACGTTTGTATGTTTGTTTGTATATTTATTTGATTGTATATATGTTTATTTGAAAGGTTTGATCACAACAACAAATTCGTATGTTTGTGAAAATATATACTAAATATTTTGAAAATGTGTTTCAGCATTTGTTAATGGGTTTACTTTTTGTGTAGCAAGCAGCAGTAGCAGCAGTAGCAGCAATAGTAGCAGAAGCAGCAGCAGCAAACTGTGTACACAATATACGTACATGTGTTTATTAGTCATCGCTCATGGTTCGGCCATTAATCAAACAACGCAGTCATTTCGGGCAGACTCTAAATCACACGGCTTAAATTAATTGCATATTTATTAAGATGTTTCAATGTTCAATTCGTCCATTCACCAAACCCCGCAATATATTTATGAGATCGTTCGCTTGCTACCAAGTGCGGTTGAGAAGAGGAAATTTATTTTCAACGTTGTTCATGTAATTTTTTGTCGGGTTTCCAATTTAATGCAGTGTTGGTACTCGTTCACTTGATTGTTTGCTTATTTAGCTTGTTCGTTTGTTTCTTTACATAAGTGCCTTTTTGGCTTCCTAAGGTTTATTTTAATTTGATTTTAATGCGAAAGGCTCTGTCAAATTGAATTATCATTACAACTAACACTCGAACACAAACAGAACAACAGCAACATAAATGTTTATAATACAAAATCAATGTAGAAATGGGCAGGCAGGCAGTCGCGTCTTACGTGCCAACTAGAAGGCCCGTAGTAAAGTAAGTAGAACTGAACACATAAAAATATTTTCAAAGAAAGGAAACAACATAACTAACAAATGAGTTTAATGGAGACAGACAAAAATTATTTTACAGCAAACAACCAGCAAAACAGCGCCTGAGTTGTTGCTCAGAGTTAACAAAACTTTTACACATAAAACTGAATTTGCATAAACAAACCATTCGGCAGCACGCGCAAATTGAAAAATTATTCACTTATTAAAATTGAAATTAAATGACCTCACGTTAATAACTTTTTTAATTTTCAATATCTCCTAAAAAAACAGTATCTTAAAAAAAGTCTCAACCTTATCACGACTCACAAATGAAAATTAAACATTTAAACATTTGAACAAAACATTAAGAGAGCAACCTTGAAATTAGGTTGTTTGCAATTAATAGATCATCAAAAACGGCCATAAAAAAAAAGAAAATTGAAAGACAAAAAACAAGTAAGCAAACAATTATGCCTATGAAAAATTACAAACAAATGCAAAATTTTACTGGAAACAAGTTAAAAAAATATAAAAAAACATAAAAATACAGTTTATGTGTGTGTGATGTGTGTGTATGTTTGCATGTTTGCACGGTAAGGAATCGAGTTGATGGATTGGCGAATGTTGCATGGCCGGATGTCCACACACTTTCCAGATGTCATCAAGAAGGAAGAGAAATTTAACTCTTGAACAGTTTAACGTGAAAAATTGCACACATTTTTTTCCAGCCCGCCATCTTCTGATACGCCAAGACAAGCATAACACGTGTAACTCAATCGAGTAACATACAAAAAACAATCACGCGTACCGTGAACCACATAACAACACACGGACACTGAACACATGACATTCTAGTTAGAACATGTAATCTACCACACTAACACAATGTTTTTTTTTCTTATTATCGTCAATTTGATTTGACGAAATAAAAACTGAAATAAAGTTTGAAAATTTTTTTCTTGGGTGGAGTAGCCCAAAAATCTCCTTTCTTACATGCCCTCCGGTTAAAATTTTTTGGTTTTCTGGTCATTCACAGATGTTTTATTTTTTGATCTTCTTTCAGCAATGCAAAATTTGCAGAAAATTCTCTAAATTAATTTAGATACATTAATAATTAATAAACAAGGGTAAAATGAAATAAATAAGTTTAATTATGGGACACTTTATGAAAATTCGAAATCGAAATGTTGATTAATTAAAAGTTATTTTTGAATGAAGTGAAAATAGATTAGATTAAAAAAATTTAATTTCGATCCGAATGCTGGTTCCAACACGCTTCAGCGTTTTTAATTTGTTTAATGTCATCCGAGCCTAACCAGAACAACTGCATACATACATACATAGGTCTATCTCTACTGTATACTTAATATGGAGCAAGTATGTGTCGTGTATATATATATCTGTGTATTTGTGTTTGTTTGTCTTTGTGTGTGTATGTGTGCGCGCGCGCGTGTGTGTCTGTGCGTGTGTGTTTGTTTGATATTCTTTTTTTTTATGTGCTACTTACATGAGTGTGCTGGTACATCATTTGCAAGAATCATTTTTGTTGTAAAACTTGAATGATTTCACTTATATTCTCGAAAATTCTTTCGGCTGCCTTCTAAATTCTTCCATTTCTCATCTCCTTTGATGTACAAAAACTTTATAAATAAATAATTTTTAATTTGAATAATTTTTAAAAAGTGTTCATTTCTACATACATATCCATTAGTGCTGCATGAATTCTACCGAATTTTTGGCTTTAAGCAGCAATTTAAAGTTTGTGTCTTTTCATTACTTGATTGCTTAATCACATATGGCGTCTGTTTCATTTGATATATATTATATCATTTTAACCTGAATAAAATATAATTCAAAAGTATTACAATTAATTTATTGCTACGTTTAAAAATTTCACGCGCACAGCCCGGCGACAAAAATGCACGCTAATGGTCATAAATCGATGTTTATATGATCTCCGGAGGTCTAGTAAACATCTATAAAGACTTCTGCATTCTCACATTTATGCGCATTTCTTCCTCACAGGCAAATTTCGTTATCTTGAATTATTATTTTGGTTATTTGGTTGGTTACGAATTTTCATATTAAAATTTTTAAATGGTTTGTATTAGACTTTTTGGAAAAAAATCAGTTAAGAAACATTTATTTCTTTTTATTTGATGAGTATTTATAGTTGCTAGATGTGTGTAAAATGTGCGACTGTTAAGTTTGAAAAAATTATAAAAAAATACAGAAACATAACAACGAATTTGTGTTTTTCTTGAGGCGAACAGTTGGACCATGTGGGAGATAAATCAATTTTTTAATTTTTTATCGAATGCTTGAAAGTGTTTGACCGTGAAAAACACAAGTTATTGCGACAAACATTACAATATTATTATTGTATTCTATCCTATTTAAAAGTGTGTGCTAGCTAAACATAACCAAATAGTCGTTATATCATTATATCTATCAAATAACTCCAGTAGTAAAATTCGCATCAGCGGCTGCTGTATGATCAGTAGTAACTTTAGATGTAATAATAGGAGTGGTAGCAGCAGAAAGTATGAAATGCAGGAAAAGTAAAGTAGAAGCAGTGATAGAAGTAGTAAAAGTAGTAAATTAGTAAAAGTAGAAGCAGTAGTAGCAGAAGTAGTTGCAATTCTGTTCAACCATGCTTTATTGGTCCTCGGTGAGTCCTTCTTAGACCAACTAAACTGAAAAACTAAAGAAAAATTGAAAACTGATAAAGCTTGTTCATGCAATGAAAGAACCATGGATGCCAGACAAATAGTTAACTTCGAAACACAGAAACTCAAACATCGGAAACAAATAGTTACACACATGCATGCAACATACGTAAGAAGGCATACAAAGGCGTTATATACAAAAGAAATACAAACCAATAAACATACATACATACAGAGAAATCATTTAAAATCTTTTTTAAACTCCAAAATAAAAAATTTTCCTGATCATTATGATTTATAATTGAGAGAATAAAATTTTTCTTTGAAGAAATGTAAATAAATGATCGGAGCAATTGAAGAAGACTACTCAAAATAATAGGAGACATAATTCATTCTTGGCGAAAAATTATCAACCTATTTATTCATCCATTCATTCTTTCATTCATTTTTTTGAATTCATTTTATCATACATCTATTTATATTCAATTATTCATTCATTCATTCCCTCACCCATCCATCCAGACAATCATTCAATCGTTTATAGCGGTCATAAATGTATGTAAGCAAAAGATTGAAAAATAATACTTTGTTATACAAATATTATACAATGTTTTATTTAGAATTTAAAATAATTTCATGAATTTAAACATTTCAAATCATCAGATATTAAAATGGCAATCTTATGAAATGTTCAAACGCAATGAATGTGTCATTAAATACTTTCTCCTCTCTTAGCACGCTTTTAAATGGTATTAAAATAAATTTAAACAAAACTTGACTCTAGCACTTTTGTTCAGTTTTTGTCTATAAAAAAATGTGTAATTGTCTGAACATGCGTTTGTATCAATGTGTGTACAGGTAGAGATTGTTTGTTGTTTGTATGTATGTAGGGTGTGATGTTTGTCTTTATATCAGAAAGGGCATTTTTTAATTTGGTATTTTAGGCGCGTATTCTCTATGTTTTGCTCGAGCGATTTGCTTATTTTCGATTGTCATTCATTTACGTCAGGTTCGTATGACCAAGAAAACTGATTTTCGTTGGTGGTTGGGTGTATGTATTTTGCTGATGTTATGGTACAAAAAACAAATATTTAAATTATTTAATAATTTATTTGAAATAAGTAATTGATAAAAAAAATACTACAAAATGGAAAAATAAAAATAAAATTATTAATTGACATGAAAAAAAATAATAGTATGGAAAAAAGTTTGAAGATGGACACGGCGTGAGGTATCGTGTCCAGGGGATATTGCTCATACGTACGTCACGTGTAATTACATTAATGATGATGACGCAATCATCTGCGAACGACCATTATCATCACCATCATCCTCATCATCATCATCATCATCAGTGTCGTTAACATCATTAACATTATCGTCAATTTCATCTTCATCGTCTATAACATCATTATCTTCTTTATCATATCATCTATAATATTATTTTCATAACCATCTCAACATGATTCTTGGTCGTCGTCGTCGTAATCGTAATCATTACTGTTATCATCGTCATTATCTGTTTCTCTGTTTCTCTCTTTTTTTTCTCTCTTTCTCTCTCTCTTTTAGAAACATAAACCTACGCTTATCTAAAAATTGCAAACTTGATTGCAAACACAAATATATACAAAAGTCTAATTTATAAGCATACATCAAAACGCATATGCACCTAGACTTACCTTAAAAAAGTTCTCATTCCCCGCTAAACTTTTTGAAGAGCATACGTTAATAAAATCCCGAAAGAAATCTCATCACGTAAACGCCATTCTAAATTATTTGGAGGCCTCTCCTTACAAAAAAACATCAGACAATCCTCAATAATATCAGTCAGTCAGTGGAATTTTTGGACCTAGGTTCACCCTTCTTGTTATACATTTGATTGTGTTGCGTGGTATTGTATTGTATTGTAAAGGACTGTATTGAGATGGTATTGTTTTGTATTGTTTTGTATTGTATTGTATCGTATTGTTTTGTACGTATGACATTGTATTATTGTGAGTTGTAGAGTATTGTTGTATTATATTTCTCGAATTTTTTGGCGTTTCTCATTAGTTTGTTTTAGATTCATTACTAAATAAATTCTACATTAATTTTTATAAAATGTCAAATGCATTGAGTTCAAACTTAAAATGAGATTAACAAACTCTTGGATCAAATATTTGTGAATATAAGATGAAAATTTCAGAATATAAAAATTTGCTAGACATTAATCACAATCTAGAAATAATCTCATTTCATATTTGAAGTTAAATCAATAATATGACTACGGAGATAGTTGTTGTTGATCAAAATAGATAAATATGCGTTTTATTTTTTTAAAGAACATTAACTTTTCTATTTTTCTTTGTTAAATTCAGTTTAATAAATCTAGAAAATTGGAAAATCTAGATAAAAAGATTGATCAGTTAGTTAGTAAACTAAGTGATTAAAAAATATTTTTGTATGAACATATATACATTGAGAATCAAAAGAAAAAAATCAAATCTACTAAAACATTTTACAAAACAAACTTATGAATTACAAAAAGACATAAACCAAGAAACGAGATTCACTACTAATTAAGCCATCAAACAAACAAACTCAACAACGCAACAACAAGCATCAACAACGTCACCCCAAGCAAAAATAAACTCTGCGAAACCAACAACAACCTCAAAAACAACAACAATTAACTCTATTAAGCCATCAACAGCCTTGAAAACAACAACAATAAACTCTACTAAACTAACAACAACCTCAAAAACAACAACAATTAACTCTACTAAACTAACAACAACCTCAAAAACAACAACAATAAACTCTATAAAACCAACAACAACCTTGAAAACAACAACAATAAACTCTACTAAAGACGCTAAACCAACAACAACCTGAAAAACAACAACACCACCAAAAAACGACAAAAATTACTAGATACAAACCAGGAGAGAGAAAAAATTACTACTCCGTTGACGAATTCGTAGGGGTCGTTGGTTCAACATAAACATCGCAAAATGATAGCGGGAAACTGTAAAACTCTTGCAAGTAACAACGGGCTATCTCATTTGCTTCATGCATTGTGACTTTAAAAAATAATACATTATTTTTCATCAATTTATATTTATATTCTGGATGAATGAACTATATTTGAATGTATATTTCACTCTTTTCAATCATTTTTACTGTTAGTCATAAACGTATTAACGTAAATTTTTAAAATTTATGCGTTAATCTCTATAAACGATTTAACGGTAGATTCTAGCGTCGGTATCCGTCTAACTACACATTTGTATGGCGTGTTTGGGACTCATAGTATTTTTTCGAATGGTTTTTTTTGTCTGTAGTAGTACAACTTGTAAGATAGTTTTCATTTTCATTTTTTGTTCACGTTGAAAACAAACGATTAACAAATAAATAAAACTAAATTAAAGTGAATACACTTAAATTAAAATGAATAAAATTGATTAAGAATATTAGGAAATTTGTGAATAGTCGCAGTATTATTAGTGTTGCTATTACTTATCACCAAATATGTACCAAAACACCTAATTTCATAATCAAGACACTTTTCGGCTTTGCGATTTTTGTAGTATATAGTTCAAACCGTTTCACAAATTTCATAATTAAATTAGAATTTAATTCAAATCTTTTTAAAATCTAAAAAATTTACTCTAATTTCACTCAGATCTTTATAAAAATTCAAGATCTTTACAAATGTAAATCAAATCTTTTCAAAATTTTAAAATTTTTTGTGAATTCAATTCTCTAGCTCGTGAATTACTTCAGCCTAGCGTACGAATCATTCCTCGGACATATATAAATAAAAACACAGCAGATTCAGCGCGAATCGCATCACGTCCAGCAGAGTTTTTCTCTCCGCAACATTTTACTTCCACGATTGAGAACATTGATTTTAATTTTTCCTCTCACTGCGTCCCAGAAAAATGTTTGCCACTTACATTTTCGTGAGTGCCTGCTTCCTTCCTTCCATGCGTTCGCTCGCTCAGTTTCAACACTTGGACGTTCGTTTGTAATTTTTTTTAAACTTCTTCGGCTGTTGCTTTTCAATGAATGAACAATGAGGATTTGTCGTTTGGAATGTATAGACACAAATACACGCACACACACACACACACACACGTACATATACTTACATATACACCCACATACACATACATGCCCACATACACACCCACATACTCACACATACATATACAATCAAGCGTAATTAAAAAAATGAGCGGATGAGTGGATGAATAAATGAATGAATAAACCAATGAAAGATAAAAGAATGAATGAATAAATGAATAGTTAGACGAGAGGAGGTGTATTTGTAAAGCAATACACATCTCGTCAATAGGTTTGCGAGCTCTGCAAAGCAGCATGGCACGCTGTCTCATTCATTCTCTTAAAGTGATTCCATCTCTGAGAAGACATTCATTCAACTGCCACGTCAAATGGACATTTGCAAGCTTTTCAACAAATTGTTTCAGACCGTCGTTTACGCTGCTTGCGATAAAATCGATTTTTTTCTTCTTCTTCATTCTTATTCATCTCTCAACAAAATTTCTGTTTTCCTCCGCAAAAGAGGCGCTTCCTATAATTTGGTCACAACGTTTAGGATTGATTTTAAATTTTTTCATAAAAAATTTCAATTTTATTTGTTTTAAAATGCAAAACATTAAACTAAATTTTATGCGATTTATAAGATATAGTAATTAAATTGTTTTATATATACATGTGTGTGTGTGTGTGTGTGGTGTGTGTGTAAGTAAAATTTCAACTATTAGCAATTAAAGTGCTCCTACTTTTTCAAATTTGAAAAATTTAATTTGCCAATTTCCAGAACATGCCCATAATATTTTTATCATCGCCAAGGTCGGAAGAACTCTTCACAGCAGATTGTTTGTTTTGTCTTAGAAAAAAATCAATTTAGAGATACTAAAATGAAACACTGGTGTCCACTTCACCTGTGGAGTTTGAGCAATTATCTCTCTAATTTTAACCCTCTCTCTCTTTCTCTCTCTCTCTCTCTCTCTTTCTTTTGTTATTTATATTTTTTAGTACAATCTACTTCATTATTTATATTCTCACTAATCCATTCATCTCCCTAGAAATCTTTTTTTTCAAAAGTTAAAAATTTTTTTAGCTCAAAAAAACATTTTAAATTTTAATTGAAAATCTTCGTATCTTTAAAATTCTTATAATTGCCAATTTGAATATTTTTAACCTAGGCAGATAAAATTGCGTTAAGGCATCATCCACACAAAAGTTCATTTATCCAATCACATTCTTTTTTCATCACACGCACGCAAACAAACACACACGCACGCACACAAACACACACGTACTCACACAAACATACACACCCACTTATCTACCATTCAATAGAACAGATAGACAAAGAAACAAGCGGATAAACAGAGAGGCAGAAAAACAAAGCCTCACCCAAACAGACAAGATATTTGAACATGTGAGCACATAAAAAGCATCAGATGAACGCTAGATATGACTAACAGGAGCAATAAGAGACCAACACGTCATTTCTCTGACGTCATAATCAGCTGTATTTCATGATGTCATCAACCACGCATATAAAAATAAACAACAACAGCAATAATAACAATATTCTTATGAGGCCAAACAAAACAATACTAATATAGGTATTGCAACCTTCAAAAAAATTATCATATATGAGCATATTTGTGAGTTTGGGTGTATGTATGTGTGTGTGTGTGTGTGTATGTGAGTGTGTATGTGAGTGTGTGCGTGTGTGCGTGTTTGTCTACCCATATAGCTATATTATAATTTGTTTGTATGGTAATATTTATGCCCATATATGGATATAAAAGTAGCAACATTTGTCTTCATGTTATTGCTGTTTAATGATGGTTTATACAATGCCGTTCCTGACAGTTGCATGAACGATAAATGTGGAAACAACAGTGTAGTGAATCATCATAAACAACATCAACCACACCAGCCACACCAGTCACATCAGCCACACCAGCCACACCAGCCACATCAGCCACATCATTCACATCAGCCACATCATTCACATCAGCCACATCAGCCACATCATTCACATCAGCCACATCAGCCACTACAACTACATCAACTATATCAACAACAACAACAACAGCAACCTTAATAACAACACCAACAAAATCATTAAAAGACATGCATCAAATACGGCATCAACAGTGCTGAACAACATTAAAAAGAAATTATCGAAAAACATCTTCATCATTAATCATCAGTTAATGGTGATGATAAAGATTTGTGATGACGAAGAAGATGATGGTGAACATGGTGATGATGAAGATAATGACAATGATGATAACGATTAAAACGATTGCGTTGACGACGATGATGATTTCGATGATGTCATTACAATTTTTACTGATATCAAAGATAAAGTTGATGTGGTTGTTTTTGGTAATGAAGTCACCGTTGGCACTCTCGCCATGATGATGATGACGATAATGACGGTGATGACGATAGTCTGTCTATAGTAGGTACTGTTCATGTGTGTATATTTGTGTACAGATGATGATAATACCGGAAAGATGAAGACATTGCCTCACGATGAGACCACTGTCTCACGATGAGACCACTGTCTCATTGTCTCATATCCGAATCATCAGTTAAACCTGTCCTCAATAAAATCTTTAATTTCTTGAAGAATTATGATGATGGTGATGACGATGGTGATGATGATTATGATGAATATAATGAGGAACTGTTTATGTGTGTACAGTGATGTACGTGTGTGTACAGACGACGATGATGACGTTGACGATGATTGTAATGATAATGATTGGTGAATGTGGTTGTAATGATTGAGGCTGTGAAATGGCAGGAATGATGGATGGTGATGAAAAAGATGATTCGATATTAGTTGCTGGTTGCAATGACTATTCTGTCCTGATCTCATCTACATTCTCCGATGGATAGCATTCACATAATAACATTTACACGGTATAATTATTCTTTCATTCATTCATTCATTTATTCATCCATCCAATCATTGATTGATTGATTTATTCATTTATTCATCCATCTGTCCATACATCTATTTCTTTGTCCGATATTTTCAAACAGTTGTCAAAGAAATTTCAATAACATATAACCGATGAAATATCGCTGACGCTTTTCTAGAAATCCATTGAAACTAACTTGGGTTGATAAGGGGTGCTAGAATAAGGATGAGATCGTTGCAGAAATGATGAGACCGTTGCAGAAATGATGAGACCGTTGCAGAAATGATGAGACCGTTGCAGAAATGATGAGACCGTTGCAGAAATGATGAGACCGTTGCTTCGCGATGCAACATTCGAATCACCAGTTAAACTTGTTCTCAATAAAAGGCTTCATTTCGTGAAGAATTTATTGTCGCACAGACTGTTCGTTTGTTCTACTTAGATAACGCAAACGCAATTTGTATACGTGTGTATGTGTGTGTGTTTTGTGTGTGTGTTTGTGTGTGTATGTGTGTGTGTGTTGTGTGTGTGTTTGTGTATTTGTGTGTGTGTTGTGTGTGTATTTGTGTGTGTATGTTGTGTGTATTTGTGTGTGTTTGTGTGTGTATGTTATGTGTATTTGTGTTTGTATGTGTGTGTATGCTGTGTGTATTTGTGTGTGCTGTGTGTGTTGTGTGTGTGTGTGCTCGGTTGATGATTCTTCCATAATCTAATGGCAAAATATTTCGCATCCAAGTTTTTCTTATTAGTTTTAGTAATTATTAGTATAATATATAAGATTTGAAAGTTATTAGTCGCGATGTGGAAATGTTGAAGTGGAAGTTAATTTTCTATTCTCATTCTCTGGTGATG